GGGAATAAGTGTTATCTTTAACGTTGCACTGGGATTATTAAAAGTGAGTATACGATGTTATATTGTGTTGTGCATTGTCATGCACCATATAAAAAATGAAGATGCCTGTTACAGAAATACTGTGGGTTTATTTTTAAAGCTAACAACTTCCTGTATGCCACATGCTGGTGCCTGGCATGGCCTGTACAGCGCAGTGCTTTGGGGCTGGGGTTGCAGAAACAGAAGCAGCCTGTTTGCAGAAGGTTAAAAAGCAGTTACGTTCCTGGAGCTTTACAAAGCTGTTGTTGCATCGTTGTCTCTGGGAATTCAGTACCTGTACAAAACCTGCTTGGCAGTGACTGTTTCTTCTCTCCTTGTCCCCAGACTACCAAGGATGATTTGTTACTGACTGACTTTGAAGGGGCTTTAAAATTCTTCCGTGTGCAGCTGCCCAAGAGATACCGTTCAGAAGAGAATGCAAAAAAGCTGATGGAGTTAGCATGTAATATGAAGGTAAAGATGTGGTGATGGCAACTGCAAACATGTTTAATGGGCACCATGGTCTGTCTCCATATGCAACTTGCTTGTCCGAATGCAAATACATTGCAGGTGCTTTAGTGAAACACAGTAAAGCCCCAAGAGTCTCAGCATGCTATGGGTCCACCTAGAGAACTCGAAACCAGAGTGGGTATCGGAAAGCAATAGTCAGTGCTACTAAAATCAGGCTACTGAAAAAAAACAACCTTAAATGACTAATGGTACTAATATAAAACAATTGCAGACAACTCTGCAGACCTCTAATGAAATCTTTCTCCAATAGTAGCTGTAAACAGGGTAGTATCTTTCATCAGGAGGTAGTGGGGAGGTTTCATTTAAAACAGAGTCAACAGAGAAACAGAATGTGATCTTTCAGGCTGTTTTTAATTGTGGGTGCATGTGATGTTTAGGTACTGCAATAGGGAGCTCTTTAAAAATGCACTGATGGATGTACAGATCTTCCAGGGACATGAAGGAATAGGATATGGCATGTAAAATTTCTTACAAGTCAAGCAAGGGAAATGACCTTGAGGTTTCTGTATTCCCTATGTGAGTTTTGAGTTGTCACTGATGTATGTTGGGGGATGGATGCTGCTTTTTTAAACAGCATTTTAAGTTAATTCCCTCTTCAAGACTACTTCACTCGTACTCTAGGTAGCTGAAAACAACGGGTTAATCTGTTATGATCTTTCTAGTCCAAAGAGGGTCTACTTTATCTGAAATTAAACAAAGTGCTGGCTAAGCTGTATGTTGTCTAGGGCTGCCACAGTTAGCTGAAGCCTTTAGTAATGCAAAAAAGCATTGTTTTCCATGAGCAGCCCATGCAGTATTTGCTTCCTTCTTGCCTTTTCATTTGGGTACTGGGAATAAGTGTTAAATTCTGGTTGGAAGCAGAGCTCTGAGGTACTGTACAGTGGTTGATGTGCAGGTAGTTGTGAACATTAACCTTTGTAAGTACTTTCTGCTCTCTCTGAGGGAGCACTGAGGCTCACAAGCTCATCTAGACTGTCTTATAGTGGGGTTGTCACAGCTCTGTGACTTCTCCCACAAACCACTGATTTGTTCATACAGTCAATGTTTAGGAAATCCTGATGATAATTAAGACATGATTTCTATAACAGAAACCATACATCACAGTAAAATGTGCTCTCTGATTCTTATAGAAGCCTTCTTTTGAACAGAGTGGAATCATAGAAACTAGAGTTTGCTGTGCACTGGAGAGATGCTGACTCATAAATGAATTAATCTCAGTAATTCCTGTTTTCTTACAGAGCTCTTTGAATAAATTCTTTTGAGCTCTCCTGTACGTTTGAACCACTGAGGTAAACTGTGCAGGGGTTTTTGCTTGATCGTGGTTATTGTAGGTTTCACTTGCCCAGTAAGCCCTATTTCTTAAATATATATCTATGTAATAAAATTTTTATCCTCTGCCATTAAGACTCCAGTTATATATAGCAAATACTGCATTACCTCATGACTGCAAGTCAATTGCTTTTCTAATTAGTAGATATAGTAACTAAAGCTTTATGTGGGCACTTGGGAATAAACCTTTAAGGTGACATTTCCAAGAAAAGTTACAGTGAGGAGGTTATTGATTCCTCTTTATGGATGTAATTATTTGTGTTCTAAAATGGAACACTGATAATTTATTTAGTGTATTTTAAGGAAGCTGTGATCTTTCTTTATAGTTTTGTGTAGACAAATGTTTAGACAAATACACTGGTATGGTTCAAAGTATCCTTTTTCCTTAAGATTCACTTAGAGGGATTCTTTGTAGCATCAGTACATAAGTACACAACTTCCCTAGTATGCTTCAAAGCATCTGGTGCTCCTGGTGTAGTACCAGTACACATAACAGTGTTCTGGTCCTAGAGTTCAAGTATATCTTATGTGAAAGTAGTGTAGAAATGATGGAATAATCAAGAAAAAAGCTATTGTAGCTCTCCAGTCATTTACCATTAGCCACAGATCAGATGTTTCACATGGATCTGGTTAGGGTTACGTGTAATGGGTGCATTTGCCTTTCACATTTCCAAATAGCACCGTGTTCCTCTTCCCACTCTGCCCAGATTCCCCGCATTGCCAGTGCTGTGTGAAGCAGTTAAAGCAAACAGTCTCCTCTGAGCAGTCCACAGCAGGGTTGTCCACTGCTTCCTTGAGTGCTGTGTGGCTTTGGGGAGATTAAGTGGGGAAAAAGTCCAGACTGCACTACTGGACTTCTCTGTATCACCTCCATTCGTGTTGCCCTGATGTGAGTGCTGCATATAATTGCTTTCTTTGACCTAAAATACAAGTCTTTTGCTGTCAGTAGAAATCTCCTGCTCTGTATCTGGAAGTGTTTTTGAGCAGAAAAGGGCCTGATGTCAAAATAAATCATTTATAGGAAGGGAGAACTAGCCTGGCTAAGGCATTGTGATTACAACAGCATTCTGCTGGAAAGGAGGTCAGGAAATGATCAGCTTGAGACAACACCGGCTTCTTAAAGTCACTCCTGAACATTGCTGTCAATGTTAACAGAGTTGCTGCTGCTTCCCGTGCCATGAAAAACTGTGGTGGGACTTGAGTGTTCATTTGTGCTTTCTGACACCACGCAAACCCAAGGGCCTTGATGAATTCCCCAGGACATGGTTCCCTCTAGGGCTCCAGTGGCCAGAATGAGTGACAGTAGCAAATCTTCTCAGGATCACCTCATTATTGGTATCCAAAGGCAAAACTGGTTTCATGTACTTGGGAAGGTATAAGATGAAAATGCAGTACTGTGCCTGCCTTTCTTTCCTCTCGGGTGGCTGGATGCCTCCCTTCTCAAGATCTAACCTTTACATAGCTTGAGATTTGGTGTATTGTACCCAGTAATTTGGGCAGTGTTTGAGCAGGGGCAGAGCAGTGAAACAACCTACTCAAGTTACTGGCTTCATTGTAAGTAAATAATACTGGAGTGCTGAGTAAGAGTAACTTCTGCAGTTGTGATGTGGCTGGACTGACTCCAGGTAAATGTCAGCTGAAGGAGAGTGGAATGTTTCTGTGCAGCCCTCACTAGAGGGAGCCTGGCCACCAGTTTTGTGCTGTTCCTTTCAAGTAAGGTTGTTAATGATAAAACCAAACATAAGAGAAACTAAACATGCTTTCCATTCTGCCTGTCATTTGTGTATGCAGAATTTGTTTAACATGTTTCTTGGAGCCTTTTTAAAGAGGAGACCATAGCCATAGCTTTGTAATTGGTTTGGTTTACTGAAATAATAATAAAGGTCGAGGAGCAGTTTTTAATACTAGAGATTTAATTTAGATGCATACTAGCTTGCATGCGAAATGCCGACAGTGGTCTTGGCATGGTCTGTGCTGCCAAACCATTGTAGCATATGGCACAGTTGGCAGGTGACATCAGGAAAGGTGCTGGCTGGGATCTCATACAGGTTCTCTGTCCCTGTAGGACTTGAACAGTGTGTACAAAATGCCAAATTCAACACCACCATTCTCTCCCTTCTCACAGAAGGGGAAACTGGGACCCTGAGGGAGGCACTTTCCCAGTGTTGTCTGTCAGAGCTGAGGACTGAACTCCAGCCTCTGACTTCCTGGAGCAGCAGGGGACAGAGCATACGTGCCTCTGAGTTGCTGCTGCTTGCTGAGACACCTTGGCAGCTCTGGGACTGGACTGTGCTCTGCTGAGCTTGAGTGACACTAGCAGAAATGTCAGCTGAGCCTGCATTTGCCCTTTCAGCGTTTGCAGACTCATGTAAAGTAAACCAAAGACTTCTGCATGATGATAAATGTTACAGCTGAGAAAGCAGCTGAGGTAACCTCAGCATCGTGCTAGTTCAGAATTCAAACACATCTTGTGGGTTTCAGGGTGATCTGTCCTGTGAAGCCACTGTGGTATTTGGAGCATCAAACATACCTGTGCAGCACTAAGGAAAACTCAAGTAGGATGCTCCTGTGGGTGCCTTTCAAAACCTAGTCTGTGTTCCACAAATGGATCAGAGGAAGGAATGCTTCTGGCATGATATTGAGTGCAATAGAATTTTTTTAGCTTCTCAAGGGTCAGATACTGAAAACTGAGTGAGGATATTGGCTGTGTTTTGTAGAAGGCAAGAGTTGCCTGAAGCTTGTCCCATAACCCTTTGTGAATTGTGTTCTTTTATTGATGTTCTGGGCAGGAACTAATGGGCTGCTTTAATTTAGATTAGCCAGAAGAAACTGAAGAAATATGAGAAAGAATATCATACCATGAGAGAGCAGCAAGCTCAACAGGAGGATCCTATAGAAAGATTTGAGGTAAGGCTTACTGCAGTCTGATTTAACACACAGTGCCTGCAGGAAGTTTCCTACTTGAACTCCTTTGAGCCCATTTCTAGCACTTGGGTACCATGCTGATTGCAGCAAAAGCCATGAACAGAAAGAAAATGCCTAAGTGATTATAACTCTGCCTTCTGCTGATGATAATGCTGCCTTCACTCCTCCCCTTATTTCAAATGATGTTACAGTAAGTATATAAATTAATAAATATTTTATTTATAAAATAAACACAGGAATAAGTTCTATAAGTAAAATTATGCCTATATGGAACAAAGTAACACACACATACATACATTTATATCTTTTAAGCTGAAAACTTTTATGTAAACTTTCTTTACTACCTGGCAGTGTGCTGGTAGTTCTAACAGGAGGCAGAAAATAGAGGGGATTTGCCTGGATCCTCCTCTCTCACCTGTTTCCAGCATGCAAATTCTATTTTGAGCCAAGAAAAGTCAGTGTTTGTAGGAACCTTCTGGCAAGGTATTTATGGCAGAATGATACCTCTGCTATTGCAGCCTTCAAAAGCCTTTCTGGAGCTCAACAGGAGGTAGCTGAGCAGGGTTATTTATACATGGGTTCTTCTCAGGATTACTACTTTATGTTCTTTAATTTTATGTTTCCAATGTAGCTGGCTAGTTTTGTCCTTGCATACTTAAGATGCAAGGTAGGTGTTTGTGCTTCGGCACAGGAAGAATCGTGTTTGAAGACAAAGACCTGGGAAGATCTCGTTCCTGATAATTGTTTGTTTGTTTCCCACAGCGTGAGAACCGGCGCCTACAAGAAGCAAACATGAGGCTTGAGCAAGAAAATGATGATCTTGCACATGAGCTGGTGACCAGCAAGATTGCTCTGCGAAAAGATTTAGACAATGTAAGACACATCTTTACTCTGCCTACTGGAGACAAAGTACTATGGCTGATTCCTCATTGGAGGCTTCATTGGACAGGAGATACATAGAGTATTTTTTGTTTGGGTGGGATAGGATTCTTTCCTCCATGTCCTCATTGCAGACTGATGTCCATGGCAAACAGGACTGGTGACTGAAATACTAGTTACTCTGAAAAGCATTCGAATCAATTTGAGGCAGAGGAGTGGTTCTGAGCCTCTACTTGAGTAGTTGCTTCCTTCTCTGTGTACATTAAAAGGAGGTCTAGCAGGAGCCAAGTCAAATCTTTGAATCGTCGCAGAGTTAATAACATGGATGCTGTTTTCTGTTTGCCTTCCACTGGTATTCTTATGAATAAGACTTCACAGCAGACAGGCTTTTGCAAAGTGCCTCATAAACTTGAAAGCCTGAGTCTGTGTGGCTCTCAGTGGAATCAGGTTCTCAGATAACCTTAGGCAACTCTGAAAATGTTGTTGTGGTTTCCATTTGGCTTGTTGAAATCTGCCCATGTGAACTCATCATCCTGGGTTGTTTCCCAGATCAGTAGAGCTCTCAGGAGGAAACTTTGGGTTTGCTTTGTGTTAATAGGATTTTTTATTAGTAAGCTTGCTGTCCCATTCCCTTCTTTGCATACTTATGTTTGGGAGATTGTATTATGATATGCTTTTTTTTAACAGGATGTGCAGAGACAGACATATCTGGCATTTTCAGTGCCCGTGGTAGGGTAGAACCCATTTAGTCTGTCTGCCTGGGGAGAGGAAGAGTTCAAGTGCTCATGTTTTGCCGTTCTTGTTCTGTACCAAGATAAGTGCATTTCTGAAATCTCAAAGGAAAATGACTTTTCGAAATCATACAGTGCAGGAGTTGACAGGCTTTAAAATGTTTCAGCTTATCTGCTTCAGAGGATTTCAGGTTTCCCATGGCCTCCTGGAACCTTGCTGTTGGAAAAATACTCATAGTACATGTTGACGCCAGTGGGTGAATGTTGTTCTTAATGAGATTTGGTTTATGACTTTCAAGTTTATTACATCTACTGCTCTTTAGTGTTCAAATCTGTGAATCACAGAAGTATGCTCTAGAAGCAGTGTTTCACAGTGCATTGGCTATGTTCATATCCTGTTACCTATGCTTGCTCACTTCATTGAAGATATATCTAGAAGGGTATGCAGCTGCCCAGCAGTTGCACTCATGGGGTGAACTCCTGCAAAAACATGTACCAAAGCAGCTTTTAGTATCAGCTGTTAACTGTTGTTTGTGGCTGCTTGAGCCTGTATGAGACACAGTTATGCTTTTACATCCATTTGTTTAAATGGAGAGGTGGGAGAGGAACAAAATTAAGCCAAATCTTTGAGATGCTTCATTGGATGTATAATAGTCATGCCTTCAAAGATGGTCAATGATGCGGGCAGCATTTGGGTTATCCCCCAGGAGTACATAGGTAGGTTTGATCTACTTTAGGACTCTGATTCATTCGTCTAATTGGATCCTGAACTGATAAGTTTCGTTCTGCAAGCCAGATGTCCTGAAAGAAAAGTACCAAAGGGCATTGTTTAATTCACCTTTTCTAATACCTGCATGGCGTGTCTGAAATCTTGCAACCTAACAGATCAAAGCAAAGCATTTTGAAATAAAATAATTTCCTTAATATCCTTTGCACTAGACCAGAAAATAGGCTTCATTTTCCTCCTGTTGTTGGACTCCCACATCCCAGTTTTCTTTAAAACAGCTTAAAACCAGTGTATAATGAAAAGATGTTCTCTTTGCCTTTGCCATCTGTTTTAAAAGATCAGCAGGACTTTAAGGGACTAAAATCCACTTTTTGATTTTCTTCCCTTTGAAGGGAATTGGTACAGCTGCTTTCTGAAGATTTTATATAGCAGTTGAGTTATTGATCTATTTTTATGTAGAATTCATACACCTATTGGGAAGTACTGCATTGCTGTGTATAAGACAGGAAAAGTGTCTCAACTTTGCAGAGAGAGTTTTCATTTTATAAGGAGCCTGAGATTTTTCAACAATACACCTTTATTCTATAAAAAACCTCCAGTACAAAAGGATTGTGTGGTTTCTGGTGAGACATCTCTTTAAGGAGGAAAGGAGAGAGGGGTCTGACTCTTCCGTTTGCTCTGGCAGCTAAGCTTTTTCATTCAGTATTTCCTGGGTGATACAACAAAGATGGTATCACATCCATTGGTAGGTGTCACAGATTTCTGGAGGCTTTTTTTAATGTTCTATTTTTCGTTAATCCTGTTTTCATTGCAAGGCTGAATGTCTGCAAATCGAACTTGGGTCTAAGCTGGCTCTAGTCTTTTCTGGATCTTGCACATTGTGAGCTGTTCTGTGACTTGTCTTCCAAATGTGTTGGTCAACTTCCAGTCTGGATGAGAAAAACTTCTTTCTGTTATTGGATTTCTTTGGAGCAATCCCTACTCCAGTTTTGCTAACTCTAAGCATGGAATTCAAGGAGTTTTGGAGCACTGGAATGTAGTGGTAGAATTCTGTTAGTTCTGATTTGGTGCTGCTTTGCCATTGCAGACGGTAAGTTTTAGAAAAAGAATGTTAAGAATAATGTTTTATTGTTATTAATAACAATGAACAGGCCCTTAATAAGAATGAAAGAGCTGCAGTCTTGGCTGTGCCCTACTGCAGCCTGAGCCGGTGGCTGCACAGCAGCTTTGGTACAGCAAGTGCCCCTCTCAGTGCTGTACTCCGCTCTTCGTTTCAGGCGGAGGAAAAGGCAGATGCTCTGAATAAGGAACTGCTAATGACCAAACAGAAGCTGATTGATGCAGAAGAAGAAAAGAGGCGCCTGGAAGAAGAATCAGCTCAGGTCAGGGGCATTGCTGTCATTTTCACGTTTCTGTGCAGTACACATTTATAAAAATGAAATAACAAGTGTGGGAAGGGCTTAGCGTTCTAAGCCATGTTTGTCCCTCTTCTGTAGTGTAAAGGATGTCACCAAAGCAGGATTCTTCACCTTCCTGCAAGGTGCTTCATAGGGCAGTGAATTTTTAACTTGAAATCACGAAAGCACAAACTGTGCCAGAGATTTCTGCACAAAGAGGCAGAACAGGACTTCGGCTGTCAGCACTCTTCTTTTATACCTTCTTCTCTAAGCTAGTCAGCGTTTCTAATAGTGATGGCCACCTAAGTTAAGCTTTTCCTTGCCTGCATGGCGCTGAGCAAGACCATTGTTACCTCGGGTAGAGGTACAGCAGTGAGGTTAAGGAGGAGTTAAATACCACCTGGGTATTTTTTAAATTTATGTATTTTACAAATATATAAACATTTTCCTTTATTTTTTCGTTTCCCAGCTGAAGGAAATGTGTCGTAGGGAACTCGATAAGGCAGAGTCAGAGATCAAAAAGAACAGTTCTATCATTGGTGACTACAAACAGGTAAGTCCAACCTAATGATGATGTGGTTCGCTACCAAATTGTGAGATTTGCTCAGGTATTTTAGGAGATTTCTGTGTCATGCATTCGAGGAGACATTTTAGCTACTTTAAATGGGAAGCTTGTTCTCTTTGCCCCGATGTATTTGTAGGTCATCAGTCACCACAACCTCAGTTGTAACCTAACGTTGTTCAAATGGGCTGGTGTACATCAAAGGTTCACCTCATTCACCAAAACAGTGTTCCAGCTTCCTTCCTTCAATCAGATAATAACTGCACTTAGGAAACAAAAAGATGCCTTTTTGCTGTCAAAGATTTTTGCTTTGGAATTCAAGCATTAGGTATCATGGGAGCAAATTCATCTATCTTTTTAGTGGGCCTGTAACCTTCAGAACATTCTGAAGTCTGCATCACACAGGTCTCGAGGAATGAACTGGGTTTTTTTTTCTATTCTGGCTGTCTTTGCCTCGTTATTCTACCCCAGAGGCAACAGAAAGAGTCTTTTCTGGCTCCTTTAAGCAAGGCTAAACTGCTAATAATTTGTGTTGAAACTGCACCTTTTTCTGTGGGCATAGAAGAATATGTAGAGAATGAGAATATGTACAATGAGGCAACGTAATGCAGCATCCCAATTTTCCTGGCTAAGAGCCCTCAGACTGTCTATGTTAATATTCCTGTAGCATTTAGCTGTGCTTTAGCATTCATTTGGGAGGGAATTTACATTTATAAATGGTGTGGTAACATGATTTTGCTTGTCAGATTTGTTCCCAGCTGAGTGAACGACTGGAAAAGCAGCAAACAGCAAATAAAGCTGAAATTGAGAAAATACGGGTAAGAGACCAGATAGAGCCACAGTTACAATGTTTAAATCTCTTAGTAACATTGTAACAGTGAGCACAAAGTTTATTTCATTACTAAAATGGGAGTTGAAAGAGAGTTCCTTTGTGACTTGGGGGGTGGTGCCTTGGAGAAGAGATGAGTAACTGTCCGCTCTCTCCCATGTTGTACTGGCTACATACTAATGTCGATGCTGGGCAACAGTAACTTAATTTTTTGAGGGGTCTTTTTTATCTGAAGGAGATTTCTCTGTGACTGTCTTTTACCATGAAGTAATACATAGGTAGTACAGAGCCCGTTATTGTAGCAATAGAGTGTTACCAACAGCACAGCAGTGTTCCCAGAGCCCATCAATCTGGGGGTCCAGGAGTTCCTGCTTGACTGTACTGGCCCAGAAGTTCCTGAGTTTGCAAGTCATCAGTGGTCCCTCGTGTGTTGTGCTGCTCTTCCAGAGCAGAGGCAGGACAAGGCTTTGATCCTAGCACCAGCACTTCAATGCAGGCGCTCACAATCAGCTGTTTGCTTTAGCAAAAAGTGGATGACTGCGAGCACTGCCGCGAGTTCTTCAACAAGGAGGGCCGGGTGAAGGTTGCCAGTTCTGCCAAGGACGGTTCAGACGAGGACACAGATGAGGAGAAGGAAACACTGAAAAACCAGCTGAGGGAAATGGAACTTGAGCTGGCCCAGACCAAGTTGCAGCTTGTGGAGGCGGAATGTAAAATACAGGTAATGCTCCAGAGGTTCATTTTGTAGCCTGCAGGGGATGTCTGCCTTCCTAGAAAAACTTGTCTGTTGTAGAGGGGTTGGAACAGAGCCTGTTGGTTGAAGCTGTAACCTGCTATTTCCTGTATGGGTTATTTAACCAAACACTGGATCTGAAACTTTGTGTATGCAGACAAAATAATTGAAATTGCATGAGCTGTATTTACCAGCTACTACAGCTTCCAGACATCTGCCTGGCTGCAGTGCAGCACTTACTGACTGATCTTCTGCAACTTCTTGGAAGAAATCCAAGCTCTGACAAAGTACTGAATCATGCATTTCTTTATCTCGCAGTCAGTGTTAAATGGAGAAGTAACATGTCACAGATGTTAGACATGTTTCTGAAAACATGAGTGGTAAGCTCTCCAGGTATTTCAGGTATCTGTGTAAAATATGACAACATTGTTGGTTCTTTCAGCCTAAAACTGGCATGTCAGTGCTGCTTGTTCACAAGAAAGGTAAAAGTTAGTTTGTGGAAAGTCCACTTCCTGTGGGAATAGCTCCTTTTAGACAGGAAAGAATTAAAGGGTTTGGATGTAGTGAGGAAAGCTGAGTGTTTCACCAAGGGCAATGACACACATCTTGGTTTGCTCTTCAGAGGGTTGGGGTTTTTTCCCCTCATCAGTTTGTTGTGCTTCATTATGTAAGACTTGTTTAGCTTCTAAAGTGGCCAACAGATTGTAGATGTTCTAGAGCCTTCTAAGTTTAACTCATACAACCTTATGCTGTGAATGCACCACAAATTACTGAAATGGCTCTTCTGTTTGCAGGATTTGGAGCACCATTTGGGTCTGGCATTGAATGAAGTACAAGCTGCGAAGAAAACATGGTTCAACAGAACAATAAGCTCTATAAAAACAGTGACTGGAGTCCAAGGAAAAGAGACTTGTTGAAAAGCAGTTCTGTCAAACACACCTTCTTAACACAACACCTTTTGTTGCCTTCCTTGGCCAGATGTTTAATTCTGTGACATGAGAGGACCAGAATGTAAATAAAATACAAACACAGCATGTCGGGATTTCAATAGGTCAGTGAGAAAGAGGATGGAAACACGAAAGGTTTTATTGCTAGACATGGGCTCTTCATACTACTGATATTTAACAGGTGATGTAGCTAGATTGAAGCTCTTCAGAGAAACACTCCATTCTGCGGTCTGGCTGGAGGCTTTTCACAGACTAGGTACGAGAACTTACCAAACCCTAACTGTTAAGTTTACATATGATAGGTTTTTTTACAGTTATAACCTTTTTTAATATTTTATTTGAAAGGAAAAGTGTCACTAACAAAGTAAAAAGAGAAAAAAATTAAAAAAAAAGGAAAAAAGGAAAAAAAAAAGACCAAAAAGAGCCAACTTTAGCAAGAACTACATCAGTGCCAGAAAGCAGTCCCCAGAGGTAGGATATGGAGAGTAGGAGGTGACATGTTTTGCTTTATGAATGGGGATGATTTCAGCATTCCTGTCGAGCAACCCCACTTTGTTTTAGTAGAAGCAGCATCCATCTCTCTGTGTTTGGCATTTCTTTCTGTTACTTATCAATTCTATGCAACTCTGGGCTTTTTTGGCATGGGCTGCCAAACAAATTCACAACCTGAGGCTGGGAGACATGTCTAAGTGCTACACAAGAATAATCTGAATTCTTGGCAGATTTCCGTTTCACTTCTGTGTCATATTGTTTGATCCACATATCAACAAGCGTTACAATCCCCAGCACCAGGACTGCTAAAAAGTACTGATTATGTGGATGGTCTGACATTGAATTGAGTCTTTTTGTTTGTTTTTTGTCAGGTTTTTTGTTCTTTGTTTGTTTGTTTTTACCTGGCTGTAGCAGGCCTTCTGCGAAGCTCTGAGAAAGCTTCCAGGATTTAGTTTTGCACATAGGTATGAATGGGACAAAGAAACAATAAACTGAGATATATATGAGGCAAAAATCACTGCGTGAGTGTAGCTGCGAGCATCTCTAGCTGTCCAACTCGCTTCCCTGGTAACATGTTCCAAGGTTGTGTAGGTCATTCTTCACGCTCGCTGCAGTTGCACTAATAGGTGCTAAACGTGCTTGGATTTCTTACTCATTGGATTGTATTGAGTTCTCACCAGAAAGCTGTAGAATGGAGTTTTGCACCTTGTAATTTTTTTAATTTATGATGGTTTGTGTTATGCTGAAGTATCTATTGCATCAGTGGATAAATTTTGTGTGCAGTGTGAGTATAAGCTGGTAACAATAAGAGGCACTGGTTTGTATATAAAGATATTTGGTTTATTTTGTATTTCTACCTTTTTCTTGTTTACTGTACTAATGCTAGCTAATGTACTCTGTAACTACAGAATAGAACATGCTATGTCCAAGCTTTTTTCCTTAACTCCATACATTATCTCTATTGTTTAATACCAAAAAAAAAGAATTACTGTAACTCCATCAATATTAGATGCGTGGACATTGTGGTAGCATAGTTGCAGTGTGTATACTTTATGAATTGAAATATAAACTAGTAAAATTGTATAACTATTTTGTTGTTTCTTTTCATTTTAACAGGAAACTCATTAAATATTTTGCAATATAAAACTAATTCTCTTCTTCAAGTAGAAGCAGTAGCATCTGCAGGCTTCTTCAGACTTGAAACTATAGTCGTGCTGCAAAGGGCTTTGCTAAAATAGTCTGCATATTCTCAGTGTTGCCAACACTGCTTATGTAATAAAATGTAGGGTTTGGTTTTGGGGGGAAAAAAAAAGAAGAAACTGCAGAAATGACCTCATGCAGCTTGAGCCTGTGACTCAGTATTCCTCAAAAATGTCCAATTTAGAACATCTTTTTCCCATGGCCCTCCAAATTCTGCTTGGATCTGCAAAACAAATGTAGGCTAGCTCTGCTTATCATCATCAGTAGCAAATCCTGTGGGGTCAAGTGTCATTCACGTCATCTTCACTATGATTCTGTAGTCAGAGCTGAACCGGGGGTTGAGCGGTGCAATGGGGCGGCTGCACTAACTGGGTCAGTGCGGCACAGGCTCCCATGCCTGCCTGTGTTCTGCAGAGATAACAAGAAGTAAAAATGTGGTTTTGTCACCAAAATGACTAAAGGTGACTTTAAGCAGCCCTGCTCCAGGAGGCTGTTATCACGCTGTCACTTCTCCAACCATACTTTTGCCCTAAGTGAATGGCATTTTAAGGTTGTGCATAGTCTCTGCTGCCTTGTCTTTCAGAGAGGTGCGTCCCTTGGTAGCTTCAGCTCTGCAGTTCCTCAGTAATTACAACTTCTGGAGAAAGTTTGAAGGTAAATAAGGGAGAAGAAGAAACAACCCAAGGCCAAAGCACTTCATCCACTTGTCTGCCCCAGAGGGGGTGGGAAAGACCAGGCTGGATGAGGCCTTGGGTGATATGGTTTAGCGTGAGGTGTCCCTGCCCATGGCAGGGGGATTGGAACTAGATGATCTTAAGGTCCTTTCCAACCCTAATTATTCTATGATTCTAAGTTCACTATTACACTATTTAGAATATGAAAGGACCTTAAGATCATCTAGTTCCAAGCCCCCTGCCATGGACAGGGACATCTCACACTAAACCATATCACCCAAGGCCTTGTCCAACCTGGTCTTGAGCACTGCCAGGGATGGAGCATTCACAACCTCCCTGGGCAACCCATTCCAGTGCCTCACCACCCTAACAGGAAAGAATTTCCTCCTTATATCCAATCTAAACTTCCCCTGTTTAAGTTTTAACCCATTACCCCTTGTCCTATCACTACAGTCCCTAATGAAGAGTCCCTCTCCAGCATCCCTATAGGCCCCCTTCAGATACTGGAAGGCTGCTATGAGGTCTCCACGCAGCCTTCTCTTCTGCAGGCTGAACAGCCCCAACTTCCTCAGCCTGTCTTCATAACTTCCCTCTTTCCTTCAAAACTGAGGTACTTAAAGGGAGGAGAAAAGTTGCTTTATTGTTCATATCTCTTCCACTCTCTAAGTAAGCATGACCTCAAAATTGCATGCAGCATATACTCATTTTAGTGTAGACATGGAATATACATATGAGAAGCTAACTGCTGCACAGCATTTTATACAGAACATTTTATAGTCCCTTTCCAGTCGTTATGGATTATTTGAGAGCTCAACTTGAAGGATTTTGATGCTCAAAAATAAATATTACCAATGTATTTCACATCTGTCTCCATCTGAAATATCCACAGCTAATTAAGGAAAAGGAATCCTGTGCTGAGAGACACATCTTTTGAAACGCAGTTACGTGGGAAGCACAAGGAAGCAGGTCATTTCTGTGATGAGGAGGACGAATTTGCAGGTGTGCAAGACTAAGTAAGGTAAAAGAGAAAAAAGACTTTGAGTCTGTGCTGCTATAAGCACCAGTATTTTACAGATCTGTAAGCAAGGACTGAGTGTATCTGGGAGCATTTCTAGCATTGATAAGATGGTTATTTGCTGCTCATCAATCACCTTCCTTTCTGTTCAGAGATGCCTCTCAGCTGGCTTTGTGCATTGAACTCAGTACAAGTGCCACTCTGCTGATGCCAAGTGTTCAGTCTCATGCGCTCCAGGCTCCAGCTTCCTAATGCTTTGTGTGCTTGTGCTGCATCACGAAGTTCCTGTGGCCTCATAGAGTGGTATTTCTAGTGTTACAATCTCCATTTTGCTGCAGAACTTGGCTGCTCAGGGCCTGCAGCTGGAAGTGGGTATCACAGATCTATTGGAAAGTTTTACCCCGAAGCATCGCTGGTAAAGCCTCCTTGGAATTTATATAACTGCCTCCTGGACTTTTTTTAGCTGCCCTTCTTATCCATGGCAGTGCTATAAAGTTCCTGTTATCAAGAGGAGGATTTCATCTCCATCTGTTCAACAGCTTGGCTCGCGTTCATCCTGCCTAACTTTAGACACTTCAGAGGTGCCTAACGTAAGAGCTTAATCCAGCAAGGTTTTCAGCCCTCAGTGGCTTACCCGTCAAACAAGGAGCCTAATGCAAGGCAAGCACCTAAACTGAAGGTCCTTCTTAATAAAAAATAACTAAAATGTGGTGTATGTGTGCACAGCAAGGATTGTTTTCTATTATTTTTTTTCCTCTATATCCCCCCCCCCTTTTTTTTAATTGTGCAGGATTATTCCTTGTGTGTTACCAGTCCAGGCCTCTGCATACAAACCCCTTCAAATCCTGCTAAGAATTTACTGCTGTGTCCATAATGACTCTGAGGAATGAGGATTTGATTGTGCTGTGTTTTCTGCATGCTAATGAAACGGGACAAGCATAATCCTGTCCTGACGGCTTTTCCTTTAGGTTAATCTGGCCGCGCAGCTGCAGTCCTTTTACAGCAACGGCAAGGAAAAGCCTCGACTGCCAGACGAGCATGACTGCCCCTGTTAAGAAACCATGTTAGTGGGCATGACACTGAAAGTCAAGTGTTTTCTGACACGTTTTAAGTCCTCGGTGAACACGAGATGAACGGAACTCAGCTGGCTTTGAGGTTTAACATGCGGTCACTGCGGCTGATGTAGCTGAGGAGGGGCCGTGCTCCCAGCACGCACCCCTCGTATCTCTCTTCACGCCACAAGACACTGGGCCCGCGGCCGCCTCACAGCTACCGCCTCTCTGAGGCGTGGGGGGCGGAGCCGGAGGCCCCGAGCTCTCTGATAGGCTGGCCGTGCTGATTGACAGCAGGAGTAACCTATGAGAGATGACGCCTCGCGCGGCGGGCGTTAGGCGTCGCTCGCGACAGCCTCTCCGCGGCGCCATTTTGTTTACTGGACGCTTCGTGGAAGGCGAGGCGCGACGCGACGCATCGGTGAGGGCGCGGCGCTGAGGGAAAGGGGCTGTGGGGAGGCGGGTGGTGCCGGCTGCTGAGCCACCCCTGATCTTGTTTTTAGAGGGGAGCAGAAGGGTTCAGTGTGGCGGTTCCCCCATGGCACCTGTGTGGGATCTCCTCAGCGGACATCTGCGCTGCTGTGTGCTGCTGTCTGGAGAGCGCTGAAATGCTCAGAAGAAAATGTTAATTGCTGGAGGTTGATAATGAGGAAAACCTCTGCTGAACTTGGTAGTGTGTTGCCTTTGTGGAGATGTCAATTTCCTGACAGTTTCCATGGCATTTAAATAGTCTCTTTTTTGCCCTTTGGAGACAACAGTGTAGGCCCCTCAGGTTGAGGAAGGTGGCAAGTGCTCCTCCTGTGTAGCATCAGTACCTGTTACTCTAGTGGGTAATTTTCACGCCAGCTTGTTACAGATACAGATAGGTTTGTGCCTTTCTTGCGCCAGCTTTGCTGAGAGGTGAATTGAGGCCTCCTGAAGTGGAAAGCTTTGAAATAGGATGTGAGAACTCATAAAGCACTGTGCACTTGAACAGTCTGATCTGTAATGTGATGCATGGCTGCCTTGTACCTTTTACCCCATGGAGACCCGGCACAACAAGAGGCCGATCAGGTCACTAACTGCTGAGTAGGTTAGGGCAGTCCGTTCCTTCCTCCTCCCTGCTCTAGGCTCTGCTGAGCATTGGTTGTATTCTGATGCTGGAGGTACAAGAAGCTTCAGTAATGAAACAAAATCGGCTTCCATAAATCTTAGACTCACTGAGGTGTAATGCTTGTGTAGATGCATAAAAGGAAGCTATTTGTGTACTAATGGAGCTACTGGACAAAAAAAAAACTATTATAGTTTATGTGTTTACATGTGAAATGCATACAAATGTATTTGCATAAGGTGAAAAGTACTGTAAATAGAACTTTTCAGATTTCTGCTCCTGAAGATAAGGAGTTATTTTCAGATAATGAGGAGATAATGAGTTATCTGACCTCCCCCTCAGGATTCCAGGAGCAGTTTTCTACCCAATTTTGAGAAATGTCTTGCATTTTTGACTGAGTAATTATATTAAAGAGTTTGGCCTAAATTGGCATGGATGGAGTTGCTGCAGATGGCACTGTAAAAGTCCTGGACCCTGCAAGATGTCTAAAGAGCGATGTTAAATAGCAGGGTTCTTAACAGAAATCATCTTTGTTGAATGATCTTTTAATGGTAAATTAAGTGCTCTCTATACTTTGCGAGAGCTAAAATCTATTTTAATAAAATTCAGCAATTAGGTAATTCAAGCAATGAATTAATAAAGACAGACTCTGTCAGGATGCCAGATAGCATCCAGCCAGAAATGCAGATTTCAAGATATTTCTTTTTGTTCTGTCTTATTCTTCCTACATGTATTATTGAGTCTGCTTGGCATGTCATATTAATTCTACATATTCTGGAGTGGAGGTAAAGAAAGAAAACGTTTGCAGGTGCATTTCATGCAGGTGCATGTTGTACTTTGGTATTTTTTGCCTCAGGACACTTGAACGTGTGCTGAGTTACTGCTTGTCTAATGATTAACTCTATGAGGCCTAAGCCTCCAGTTTTGCTAAAAAGCACACTCTGATGAGTATATTCTGTTGTATTAGGTGCAGATTTACAGTGTGGTAGAACTGATCTAATGATCAGGCTGCACTAAGAGGTCAGTCCTCTCCCAGGTGAACATTGTCACTGGCTTCTAGTGATATCTGTCTGCGTGCACCAGTGCTCGTGTGAGAGGGGCAGGTCTGCAGCCAGCCTGAGGGTCAGTTGCTCTGGAGTCACATCCTTAGTTTGCAGCGGTAGGGGCAGAGTAGTAAAGTTTTACACTTTAGGCTCTACTTAGTCCAGTGGGATTAACTGGAGCATCTTAAAATGGTTTTGCAGTAAAGACATCCTGTAGCTCTATTGTTATGACTCTTCCTTTTGCTGTAGACAACTCTGGTACTTTAATGCTGCTTTGCACTTTTTATAATGAAAAGGTTTTGTGGTAACTCTGTTGTGAGCTTGATTTTCTGTAGGTAGGTGATGTAGAAAAGCTGCTGAGTGGGTTTTTCTTGGAGATAAACTATTGCCAGTTGAGTTTTTTCTAAGAGAAGGGTGTGCCATAAGCTCTGTACTAAAAAGTACTCTGAAATAGATGTGGGTGACACATGACACAATGAACTGTGTCTTCCAGATATGCCTCACTATTTATTTTGTGGTTTATGATTTTCCTTTGCTTTGGGATGGGAGAAGGAGGAGCATGTACCAGCATTCCGGATTGATGCTGTCTTGGTGCTGCAGTGCTGACATCAGAGGTGTTTGCCCTCGGGTGCCAGTTGCCATGGGCTTTCAGAATAATGGCTTGCACTGGCTTGCCAGCAGAGCACCTGGTAGTGCCTTAGAATATTCTTCTTACAAATTGAGCAGCGTTTAGTTCAGACCAGCAATAAAACTGCTTAAACAAGTAGTTACCTGACTAGAGCATTCCATGTAATTCTGTTACGAGTCTTCTCTGAAAGCTGTGTTTTGTCCTTGTACAGAAAAGATCTGCTAGGAGGAAGTATAGTAAAATTCAAGCATGTGTAGTAAAACAAAACATGCTGGAAGTAAATCTGTGGGATGTTTTTATAATACATCTTGAACTTGGTTGAAAGTACTTGTAAGTCTTTGAGTTACTCTCTTGCTTTTCTAATACTTGTTAAGATATGATCTATAGCAAACTTTATAGCAAAAGTTCATCACATAATAGTGAAAAGTTTCTCAGAATATGAAAACTGTGGGTTACTTAAAATGTTAGGGCAGAAGTGGTTTTTATCAGCTTTATTGACTTTAGTGACAGTTGGGGGTGATGTGACAGTTTTTCCTTTGCTATACCATGGTTTCACCTTGTGGGCCTTCACTGTGCAGCTTAAATCTATACATTGCTCTCTCTGGAGGGGATGACTATTCAGAACACAGGTTGTTTTATAGAAGTGAGCACACTGTTCTAGTTATCATGTTGCAGAGGTTCACCATGGTCAATAGCCTGTGTGACAAAAGTAATGATTTTTAGGAAGTTTCTGCAGTGCTTCAGATGCAATCACAGCCATTCCAGACTCAGACTCCATAAAGTGTGGAAGTTATGAGATTTGCAGACTGCCAGATATGAGCAGAAGCCCTCATCGTGCAGGGTGTACAGTCAGAGTATACCATGAATACATAAAAGCTGTGTGTTTAAACTCCCTGCTGTGAGCATCTGTTAATGCATAGAGGTGCCTGTGTGATCCAGGGTAAAGGGTAACCTTGGAGCCACAGTCATAAATGAATGTTGGGAGGTGACACTCGAATGACTCCTGATGGGGTTTTCTAATCTGTCTGGCCAGTTTATCTCACTGCCCTGCAGATTCCATTCAATTTCTGTGCCTGAGAAAAGGTAGTAAAATACTTGCTGACATGAGACTGCGTGCTGTGCCACTGTCATCTTTCATGATGTGAGCAGAGGGGTTTTATCAGTTCTTTTAAGAATACCACAGAAAACCACTGTGGTTTTGGCACTGTTCTTGGCTGACAGGAAAAGAGGGAAGTGGCTTAATGGCTTCCGTGCCCTGAAGGCTTATGCTAGTTTAAAGAAATGGTTTTATGGTAATTTAATACTTGTGAGTGGATTAGAAAGAGGTGGAGAATGAAGGCTTGTTACAGTTGTGTACTCTATATTTGAGCTCTCCACCTACCCAGGGCATGGTGGGGCTGCTGCTGCATAATCCCATTAAGAATCACTTGTGGAACAAGATCTCATCCAGTATGGTGGGGAAGGGGTGGCATTTCTAAGATATAACTGAGTCTCCCTAAGGTGTTTTTTGCATGGTGTGGTAGAAGACCCAGCATGTTAGAGGAGCTCTGGAATCCTGTGCCAGACCTATGAATTATGGATGAGATGTCTGCTGCTAGCACAGACACAAAGAGCAAACCGTGGAGCTCCTGGGTGCCTTCAGTCTCAGCATTACAGTAACTGGCTGTTTTTAGAATCCACAAGCAGCACAACAGCCTGCTCTGATCAGTGAAGGTCAGTTACAGGTGCTGCTCCCTTCTGTGGTTAGGACAGAGTGAGGAGTCCAGTAAAAGTAGCATAACTGGGAAGTTCTAAATTATGTGCATGGCTTCATTCATTTGTAATCAGTGAGAATAATTTAGTGTACTTGAATTTAGTTTGTTTGTCATCTTTCACCTGACACTGCTGCGTGTTTCTGATCTGGGATATGCTCATCTGGCTGTACTGGTTTCTTTGGGGTTTTTAATTTAGTTATTTTTTGCAAGGGAGGGAGTTGTCTTTTGCATTGGCTGTGTGATTTTTAATTTGTTCCAGTATTAAAATAAGCCAGCTCATTGTCCCAGACAAGTCTGAATAGTCCATGTGCCTTTTGTACATAGCAAGCAAGGTGAGAAATTGAGTATAAAATATCCTGAGATAGCTGCTTGAACATGCATCACGGTCTTGGCAGACCAGTTCCATTGTGCTTCTATCAGATGCTTCAAAGCAGATGCCTCCCTTAAGGAGCTTTGTGGTTATTACCCTCAGCTATATGTAGAACAAAATTTACAGAACAAATGATTGGACTAATGACAAGGAATCTGTGATAGTGCTTTTTCTGTACAGGTCAGCCAGAGGTGCGAGGGACAGACCCTTTTTTGTAACCATGGCATCACTGCAATGGTTTATCGCTTCCAACTCAAAGTGCTAAGCTGTTGTGTAGGGAAGATCCCACCCCTCAGCCAGGAAGGGTGCAGGCAGGGCTCTGCCTGTGCTCTTGCCAAGATGAAATGGAATTGCCTGGAATGAGGTCTGGTGGTTGAGGCTTGCAAACTGGCTCTTGGCTTGTTCTGGAAGAGCACCTTTCTTCCCAGATCGCATGGAAACGGAGTCCTCAAAGTCAGTTTGGAGCAGTTTTTTGCAATTTGCCTTAATTTTCTGGGGATTTAAGCCTTGAATCTTAACCAGCATAAGGAAGGTTTTTGCAATAACTATTAATAGAAGATGGAGAAAGCTCTCCTCACCCTTCTTCCAGTCACTGGGATTTGCTCTCATTTTTGTTTTTCAGGTTTATTTATTCACACCCTAAACTAAGGCACTCATAGACCTCTGCAGTTCCCAGGCTGCAGACAGTTCTGTGTCTTCAACATGTAACACCATCTTTCTCAAAACCAGGATAACTGCCTTGTGCGATGCAACCACTGTCCACATGCTTACTATGTGCTGTATGCAAAAATCTTGTTGCTTCCTCAAGACCTGTAGTGTCAGCAATAAAGGAGTTTGGGTGGAACTGCTTTGCAGGTCAACCTAATTTGATTTACTGGGCTATAGTTTGCCATCTTGTCCTGTTTCAGCCTTCCCTCTTCTCCTGGAATCAGAAGTTACTCAGATTTTTAAAATCTCTTTGACTAAATCCTAACCAGCAGGGCTGAGTCTGCCTTTTCCTGCAAGCAGGAGATCTCATCTTTGGTTATCTGTTGGCATCTAAGCACGCATATGAGAGGGTGAGAGGGAAGTGTTATTTGTGTTGGGCTATGTGACCTTTTTTTGAGATTCAAATGCCTTTCTAGATTTTTGTTTTGTGCCTGGAGCAAAAAGGGCCTTTTTGTATTATTTTAACAAGAGTACACACAGCCTTCACAAATAAATATGCTGAAATATATAGCCCAAAGTGAAGATTAATTCAAGGCCTTGAAAGCGTTAGCAGCTCAAGTTTCTTCCAGTTGAATGTAGCAAGGATTGGGGTTACAAAAAGGAAGGAAAATTTACAGCTTAGCAAATGGGAAAGAGAAGAATTCTTTCTAGCTGACTTGCTGGAACTCAAATCCTGCAGCAAACAACTGAAGTCAGCATTATGTTGTGAGCAATCAAGAGAGGTGACACCCCTATTCTTGCAGAAAGAGGGGTGCTGTTCATGAAGAATTTGTGCTAGTTTAGCAAAGGGGACGTGTCTGGTTTATTGAAGGCTTGCCGCGTTAAGGATAGGTAATAGTCAAGCAAGTGTAAAGTGCCAGCAGGGAGTTGTGCAGCGGAGATGGAGATCCCTCTCATACTGGGGAGACTCTTGTATTAGGTACTTGATGGGGGAACTGAAGGGGAGTGCAGTAGTCTGTGGGACACATTTTGAGCATGAAATTCACATCACCACAGCTGGCATCCAGTGGTCAGTTTTGTAATCTGGTTCTGGATTTACTCTTTGTGGAACAATAGGAATTGATCCCATGCTGAAGTCTTTAACTAATAGTTGTCACCCAGTTAGCAGTCCTGTGGCAAGTTGGGTGTGGTTTGGTCTGTCATGCATCTAAGTGTTCACAAACCTAAATGCTGACATACTGCTTCTGATACAGTTTTTTTTGGAAGAAAGCCTGGAATCATCAACCATTTATAAGTCTTGTGGAAGGTTGTCTGTGAGCCTGGGGAACATAGATGTCCTTGTTTGAGATACTGTTAAATATCCTACTTTTCTTTTGAAAGTAGACCTTTATTTGCCCTCTGCATTAACTGCTTTTCCTTACCATTTTGCAAGTCTCTTAAAACAGACCAGCATCAAAGTAGACCAGTGTGAGGGATGGTTTATTGCTTGCTGTACACAGGCCAGAGGTGTGCTTTTGAGTAAGTAAGAGCTTTTGTCCGCCCTCACTGTCCCAAATGTCTGTTACAAAACCTTGCATTTGGGATCTGTTGTTTATTCATGAAAAAAAGGAACTGACATCTTGATAAATCAGGCTGCTGAAATTAAGAGAAAGTAGGACATGAAACTTCCATTGTTTGGTATTGTGTGTTTATTGTAAAGTGAGACTAGAGCCAGTTCTCTGATTTTTTTTTTTTTTGGCCGGCTTGGAGATGCAGCAGTTCTTTGCATGTGGAAGTGACAGGCTGCTTGTTAGTTTCATGAATATCACTCACTAAATATTTTTTTTCCTACTTTCTCTCTGAACAAATAAACGTTTTCAAGGTGCTTTGATTACAGCAAGATGAACTGGGCATCCTGCTTTGTAAGCAGATGGCTCCTTTTGCATGGATCCCTTCAGTACTGTGCCAGTGAGGGATGGGGCTGGAGTGGCCAAGCAGTGTTGGGAGGGGCCTGGAAATGATGAAGGGGCTTTCTGTTGCAGATTTCACTGCATGCATTCATCTGCAGGTTGATAGTGAGAGATGCTGCAGTGTGCTGAGAAAAAGTAGACAAAACTAGGAATTGTCTGGAGATTTGGAGGCGGTGGTGGAGAGAGGCGGTAACGATAGTGAATACAAGGGGCCACACGTGGCAGCTTCCCTGTTCTCCCAAGCAAGACACAGCGTGTCTGGGCAAGTTTAGGTTAGCTACAGCATGAAAGGAATAAAACTTAAGTAGGAGATGTCCAGCAGTGAAAAGGACATGCCAACCTCCTTTATCAGTCTAGACTGGGTATTGTGTTACTCCTCCCATGCACTGCTCCCTTATCTACCCCTTGTCTCATTCCTGTGAGGCCACAGAATGTCAGCTGGCTCCTGGAGTGGACCCAGCTCATTTCACTAGCTGTCACTGACCAGCAGTTGCCAGGCTATGCTGAAGAGCTGTCAGCCTTCTCAGCACCTCTGAGATGATAATCCTGAGGTAGCTTTCTGAATGACCTCTTAATAAGCTCACCAACATTAAGCATGTACATAGGTATGATACTAGGCTGATACATAGGGTAAAATTGACCTCTGTTACATCCAAGTGTTAATGATGTTTTCTTAACTGACTGTATTCAGGCCTTTATGGATCTTACTTGCTAAATATTTGATGCAGCTCTGACTTTTAAGTGATGCATAGTTTAGTTGGTTTTGGCACAGTGGTCCCTCAATAGCTCGCTCTTCACAACTGACTTGTTTGCTGCACAACAGCAGATTCAGCTGGCTGCACACTGTTTTGTTGAGTGTAAAAGTCTCTCACTGTCTTATTCCAATTATATATGCTAAGGTGTGGGGTTCCATACTTCTCATTTTATTAAGAGCTATCTCAGCTTCAGCCAGCTCACAACAGTTTTGAATCCTTCCTCAGGGTTGATCTCTGAATTTAATTAGTGAGCTCTGCACTTAGACTTTAAATTCTGAATTAAAAACCAGAAAAAATACTTCAAAGAAAAGGTAAGAGCATATGATGACTGCTCTGTCTTCCCTTTTAGAGTAAAACTGTGTTCTATAAGTCCAGGCAGCTGGACATACTTGTATATTCCAGTAAATCTTACCATGAGTTGCAGCCTCAAGCAATGAACAGCCACACAATTCCATGGTATCCTCAATTCCTGCCCTCATGTCTCTGGACAAGGAAATTGCTCAGATTTGCTTCAGACCTCAGAGGGCAAACTTGGGCAGCAGGAATTTAATGTTTAGGAAATACAGTGAAATGAGAGGGCAGGAGAAAAGAAAAGTTTGAGAAAGAACCTTATGTATTCTTAATACACGTAATTTATGTTTTAAGAAAACAGACATACTTTTTTTTTCTAATTAGCCAGATCCTAGGAAATGTCCAGTTTACATTCTGAGGTAAAACTTGCCTCCTGGCCAGCACAGCCTTCTCTGGGCTTTTGTTACTGCTGCCATTGGCTAAACCCCAGGGTTACTTGTGTGCAGCAGCCCTTGCCCAGTTTCACTCCTGTATACTCTGTTCACTGCCACCTTTGTGAAGGAATGCATTCTGCTTGTTGCAGCATAAATCTGCTTTAGGTTTACATCTTGGAGTCACCACTTTGCTAATACTCATCTCTGATAAAACTGCAGCCTTAGGAAGCCTGTCTCCCCTTTGTGCTGAACCTGTTACCTGACTGAAGTCAAATGCACTTCTGTGGTTTGGCTTCCTAGGCTTTGAAAAACCTTAAAGCCAATTTCCTCACTGTAAACAAAAAACCCCAAACCAATCATAAGGCCATAATTCCTGTTTACAGAGAGATGCCTTTATTGTATGCTCTTGGAAGCAAATGGGACATGGTTACGGTTTTATATACAGAGAAATCTGTAGCATTGGGTTACAATCAGTGGCAAATGAACCAAGATTACAGTGCAGATCTAAGTGTTGTGTACAATTAATAACAGTGGCTGGCACACAAACCACAACACAGAAGCCAAATGAAGCCGAGTGTACAGGGTACAGCATCACGTGAGGAAGCAACTTCATGTACAAAGAGCATTCCATTTTCTTTACATTTGCAGGCTTTCTTGGCTAGTGAGTAGATACAGCTCCATTTAAAACTCAGTGTGCAGTTATTTTTCTTCCCACTCAGCTGCTACCGAATTAAGACAATTTGAATGTTCCAATTACATTTTTAATGCTATAAATAACTACAGTTGTTGCCAAATTACTTTATTTGAAGTTGCTTTATTTATAGTCAGGAATAGTTTAAACGTTGTTCTCTACACATTAAAAACTGGGAGAAATCTTAAAATATTTTGAAAGTAGTCTGAAATTAGACCACAGGGATCTGTGGTACTTCATTTGGAAGTTTAATTCTAGGTAACTTCTTCTGAGAGATTTATGGGGAAGAAAGATGGAATTGTCCACCATATTACTCATTTGTAGAATTTGTTCATAGTATTTAAGGTTTAGATAGTTCAAAGGTCATAATTCTTTTTATTCAATGCCATGTCCAATCTTAGTGTAAAAATAAACACTGTCCTCTGTGGATAAAGATATCCATCTGTTGGTTACAGGCCAGACCCCTATTGGTGAGAGAGATTTAGAAAAATAGACCTTTTCTTTTAACGTTTTACTGTGCTGACCCACAAAGGAAAAGTGAAATTCATTCAAGTCTAGAAACAGAAATACAGTACAAGTGATTTATAGAATTGCATTCCTTCCATCCACAAACTTGCTGAGCATGAAACACTGCCCCTGTCTTTTCCTTGTTTTGAGAATTGTCATCAGAAAAGTCACATTATACTGCACTGCCACATTGCCTGTCTGCCTCCTAGTGTGCAGACTCAGCAGGGCTCTGCCTCCCGAGGATTCTTTGCTTGAGAATTCTTTAGATGGATGGGTGATGGTGGTTTGGGTTACACAGGGGGATGTTTTAGCTCAGATTAGCAGGAACAGTTTTAATTAATTTGACTGATGGTGATTTTTGGTGGGTGGAAGCTCAACCATTTAAAAAAGGAAAATCTCATGAGTTGGACCTGAAAAATACCAGCCTTTCCTCAAAATCTCCACTTCCAAGACTGCTTCCCATAGATTTCCTTCTCATTTAAGGGGCTGGTACATTTGGCAGTACAGGTTTCATGCTCAACTTTGTCACTGAGAACTGGACAGGACTTTAAAGCATACAGCCCATTGAGACTTCACTGTAGTGTTTCAGTGCTTTTGACAGTCCCCCCCCCAGCAGTGTTGCTCTCTTGGAAGTGCAGGTGGCCCAGACTGGCTCTGGGAGACCTGGAGGACAGGTGACATACAGAAGTGGAAGTAGTAGTTAAGCACCAGTTGCTGGCCCCTGCAGAGGCTCGAGAGAACAGAATTACTTTGTGGAGAGCTTGTCGACCTAAAAAGCTTAGTCAGTTCGATCAATAAATATTGACTTAGGGTTAGGATCAGAAATAAGACACTGCACTTTGGAACTGGAAGACAGAGTCAACTTTCTCCCTTTTCTGTCCAAAAGGAGACTAGCTTTAAAAGGTGTCCTTAAGGACCTTTGTGGTGTCTGATGTATAACTCACTAAGCACATATGAGTATACTTGTCCCTTTTTCAGGGAAGAATAAATGTATGACTGGACGAAGCTTCGAGGCTTTTTTCTGTGGTGGTTCGTTTTTGTTTGGTTTTTTTTGTAGCATCTGTTATGTGTTGTGTTGTCCCTGAAGGCAAATTTACCCACTCTTGAATTATGCAGCATTGCCCAGAGAATGGCTCTGTAGTTGAATATGCTCTCTGCAGTACAGCTTCTGCTTTCTGTATTTTCATGTAACAGATGTTACTAGAAAGCTACACTGGTCTTTATCCTGTTATTTTGAGCAGGGAAGCAGTGATACTAGTTTGAAAACACAGGAACTAATCTGTACAGCAAATTAGAATTTTCATAACTAATGAAAATTTAGTTAGAATCACTAGCTTTTCAAAAGCTGTACTGCTCTGAATGTTGTTCTTCAGCCCACCATTTTTCTGCTTTGAGCAGTATCACTTTCTGTCTGCTTGTAAACAGTTCTCTGTGGATATAATGAAAGAAGAATACTCTCTCCCCTACACTGACTACATTTTACTTTGTTAGTTTACAGGATGCCCATACAGAACTACAGGTTCTGTTGGGAGTGCAGCAATACACATATTGCCATATGCATAGATCATTAAATAGTAACAGTGCCAGTAGTAAAGCAAAACCTGCCAAGATGTTCTGTTCCTCTTATTTAAGCTTGATTTATATGTGCCTGTTGACTGAAGATGCAGTTTGTGTCCACTGCTGAGATGACACAGTACCCTGAGTAACTTTGTATTGATTATGCTTACACAAGCTTGTGCTTTTCTAAGAATGTGGAAATGAACATAAAGAAAATGAAGTACATCAGGTTGTTCCCATGGAACACTGTTAAACAACTTACTCATAGCAGCTTCAAAGTACAAAGTTAAAATTTACCTTCTGCTCTACTCCCTTCGAAACAGATGAGTGCTAGAATTAACTCCCCTCTAGCTTAAAAATAGAAGTGGACAGAATGTCAAAATATGCTTTCCTGCAAAGATGAACCTTCTTTGTCATAACGAGTTACCCCAATGTTGGTGACCTGAAGTATGTGCGTTACAACAGGTAGTTGTGGAAGCAGTATTTGCTTTCCCTTGTTGCCGTGCTGTTCTGTGTAAAAGCAAGTTGTCTAGAACACTGTGGGCACTGTAGAAAAAATAAGTTACTAGTATTCCTCTAGAGGAAATTACTATTATTCCTTTCCCTCCAAGAATTCAGTTGCATGCTACATAAACTGCCTGGAGCAGTCTCCCTGCTTTGGATAGGGCTGTATCAGGAAATCAAGGTTTTTCACTGGATTTCTTCTCTGGAAAAGCTTCCATCCTGGACTTGTTTATTGAACAGGAAAAAAACCCCAGCGTTTCTCCTGCAGCAACATCACTTGCAGCTCTGAGCCTGCTCTGTGGCTAGCTCAGAGCTCTTGCGTTATTACTTAAACAAGTGAAAAACAATACCATCACCCCCTGTTCTTAGTGTATTGAGGCTGCTGGTTTACCACAGACTCTAATAATGGACTTGGAAAAGGCAGTGCAACTTTTCCTCCAACTTCCTGTCCCAGATGCTCAACTTTTAAGACTGGAGAGGGCATTCCAGTTTAATTTGTTTTCTTTTCTCTCTCTCTCTTGCCTCAGTCCATTCTACCAGCACCAGATGTGTTCAGAAGTGAGTGTTCAGGCAGAAGCTGCACTACACCTCATGAACTGCAAAGCAGCTAAGGCACCTGGAGCTTCGAGATCCAGGTAAGAGGCAGGAATGAGGCTTAAGCCCATGTGCTCTTTTGGAATGAAAAATTAATTGCAACTCTTACTCATTGCAACTCCCCCATACCAGTGAATGAAGGACAATTACTTTCAATTAATGCCTTTTAGTATTAGTGTAATTTGTTCTAGTAAAGATAACAGTCCAGAGGGCTGTTTCACAAACATGCAATTCTGGCTTGCTATTTTGCGTATTGTTGGTGTTTACTTACAGAGCATAGAAGAGACTGCACCCTTCATTATCTTATTGCCACAAGCCTTTAAAGTTGGAAATCAGATAAATAGTCTTGATCTGTGGTTCTTGCAACTTGTTTATCAATGGATTATTAATTAAATGTGGCAGAGAACTCTCCTCCTGAGAAGGCTTCAGTCTTTGCACAGTTGCTTTAGACTAAGCTTGAGGGGGTTCTTTTAAAGCACACTTAACTATTAAACTACCTGTGGTACAGTATATATGACCTTAGATTGTAGAGAGTTAAGGCACCAAATACAAGATAAAATAACATCCAAAGTAAGAAATTTGCTTTTGAACTGCACATCTCCACAGAGCACTTTGGGACATTCAACTCCTCTTAAACGTGAAGGTAAACATGTGGTCTGAATGGTTCACGGAGCCACAGGAACTGGAGGAAGAAACCACTTTACTGAATTTAAACTGTACAGTATGATGAACTTTCTTTTACGTAATTCACACAGATACTTTTAGTAAGGCATTGCATTGCCCACACCATGTCAGACAGGCTTAGTAGAAAAAGCACCATCTTCTAAAAGACCCCAGGCTAGAGAAACAGGCAGATGTACTATAACAGAAGAATGAAACAAGTAAGCTATGTCTTATACCTTAGATAGCAGATGGAACTACAGTATCCCTTTGCTTTGCTTTAAACAAGTCAATAAAGCATCTCATTTTTCAGTAGATTTATTCAGCAGGAAGCCCAAGAGGGTCTGTGTCCTGAGCATTCTAGCTGAGTTACCGTTTTTTGAGACAGTACAACTGTTCTTAACAGAACTCCTCAGCGAGTCCAGCAGAGAGCTCATTTTCATTCTTTTGATGCCAGAGAGAAGTCTTAGTCAGCTTCACAACTGTGAACAACAGTCTGAACTCATCGTGTAGCCAAAAGAATCCACTGCAGCAGAGTTCTTGTGCTGTTTCCCAGAGCCACCGGAAATAGTAGCCAGTTCTGTAAGCTGCTGCTGCGACTTGGAACTCATCTAAGCTGGGACGTATTTCTCCCTTGTTTAAGTCACAGGCAACTGTCTACAGAGAATTTAGCTAAGCAGGAGCAGTTCTAATACTGAGTGATTATATCTTAGCCTACAAAGCAAGAGGCAGAGGGAAGCCTGCAATTTTGTCTGAGTAAAGACTGAAATACTGTATTCTTCATTTATACAGTTCTGTAGAGATGTCTGGGAGTCCCACATCTAGACTATGATGATCTGTGGGGCTCTCAGAAGTGCAGATGCAGAACTGCAGGTGAAGCAAGGGATACTCTCTCAGGACACTGCTGGGACTGGATCAGGGATGATAGGTTAGAGCTGCTCATATTTATTGCTATCTTAGAGTTTTGGAAGTGCCAGGAGATTGATGTCCCAGAGTCACCAGCCAGCAAACAGATACTTTTTTTCCTAGACCCTGTGAAAAATCCTCGTGCTACTCTTCTCTCATTTTCTGTTTCCTAATACTGTAAAGGAACTTGTGGTCCATGGAAATTTTTCTCAATAGTTAAATGAAAGAAAAAGCCTCAAATAATGTTAGATTTGTACACTTTACCCCAGTTAAGTTCTTTCAGTGGCTACAGGGCACAGTATTGAGTGAGATACACTTTAAATCTTTTTTTCCTACCAGAAGGTGAGTGTTCTCAAAGAAAGACTCCTAGTCTCCAGAGATCAGAGATACTAGAGTAGTTTTCACAGATCTTTGTAAATGAGTAGAAATAGTCCCTTGGCACATGAGTAAGTTGAAATATTTGTAGGAAAACTTGTTTCTCTGAAGCTTTTGATTAAAGGTTTTTAAGAATCTAGAAACACTTATTTACTGGGGTGTTAGAAGGTGATCAGAAAGGCAGTGAAGGAGAAAAGCATTCACAGAAGCAGAGGTATTTAGCTGCAGTGGAAGTCGCAGTAGCAGGTTTACAGCACATTAAGTGGCAGCCATGACAATTGCTGAATCATTCATTAGCTCACATTGGCTACATGACAGCAAATTAGACAGATTAGGAGCCACCTACCCAGGCACTAAATTGCCTTTGTGAGGGTTGGATTGTGCACTGTGTCCAACAGAATTCGCTTGGGCAACAGAGGCTGGATGTTACACATTCCCTTCATGAGTACAGGCTGGCCTCCCTCCATCCAGCTGGCACAATGCCCAGGAATTGGGTCACCATGTTCCAGCTCCTGAATGTGTGCTTAAGACAGCAAGCGAGAGGGCACGATGGCAGGAAGGATCACGTACCATGCTTCCAGCTAGCCAAGCTCTCCAAACCAATCTGGTTCCCTTTAAAACCTTACGTAGATAGAAACGTGCCTGGAGAAATCTCATAGGGCAAAGTGAGATTTTATCAAGTACCTTATTTCTTAAAAATTCATGGTTGCATCTGGGAAGATGACACCCACTGGGGGAGAAACTGCTGAGGTATCGTTAGCAGCACACAGTACTTCAGCATTCCCATCTGTAAAGACTGCTGTTTAAAACTCCAGTTTTGACCCTGCAGCTGGTGAAATGGAGGTGCCAACTCCTTGCAGAACTGTGCACTTTCATAGAGGAGCTACCAGCTGACGTGTACCCTGTGTACAATAGCACTGGGTGTCTTCTCAAGTCGTGCTAATTCCTAAACAGTACGTCTATCTAGCTTTCACCTGTTTCAAAACAAAGGAAAAGACTGCTTCTAGAATACATGATCTCACAACAAGGTCATACCAATGCTGTTCTCACACCAGTGCTACGATGGTATAAGAACTCAACTGGGATTAAATTCTCTGGTGGGAAGATGGGCCTGAGAGACCTGCTGTCCAGCTGGGGCACTTCAGACCCCATCAGACAGTGCAGCAGGCTGATTTGACACACATCTCCACACATGTGGTCCATGAAACACAAACTGGTAGAAAGAGAAAGCATGTACCTGCCTGACTGTGGGTTTTCTATGCAAGCATGGCTAATGGCAAACATGCTATTGTAACAGTGGAACAGGCTGTATTTCATCTCCCTGTTGTGTAAGCAACCTCACTGTCCTCAGTGTTAACAGAGCAGACCACTGAAACTCACAATTGTTCTTCCAAAGTCAGTGGAAATGCCATTCACCTCCAGTACAGACAATACATTAACAGGTCAATTTGTTATTGTAAATCTCTGGCTTCTTTTTATCCTTTAAGTGCCAGACACCATCTCCCAAAATACATGCTGTCATCTGGCTAGCTAAAACTAGAGTTAAGGTGGGCAGTATACAGACACAGACTTTCCCTGCTGTCCTATTTATATATGTACTAATTGAAAGGAACTTTTCCAGAACTCTTTAACATGAACCAGAAATTCAAACTATAAAATAGCATTTCTGCTTCACTGAGAAGGTGCTACAAAATAGGCAGTGACACTAGCAGCTGCACCAAGCATACAGAGCCAGGTTTACATATTTGCCTGTTGGGTATATCCAGACATACAGAACTTAGTAGCCATAAACCAGACCTCTGATCTCACAGAAAAGGCACTTCAGACCATGCTCCTGTGAGAAGGCTTCAAAAAGGAAACTTGCAAGTATTATGCAAAAGAAAGGAGTTCTAGTTCTGCCTTAGCAAAACAGTGCTTATTGCAATATTGATCAAGCAGACGTTACCCAAATTACTCATCCGATAATAGCTTGGTATTTCAGTTAGATTAAAACCTGCTGTCAGAAATTAACTGCTCTCTCCCATGCCAACAAGCTCTTTGGCACTTACGGAGCCTGCATCCATGACACTTCAATATGGGAATGTTTTGCTCAAGTTCCATTTTCAGTGAGACAGGTTCCGAGGAAATCCTGCACCTTAGGAGCTTATCACTGATTCCAACAGAAGGTACAACAAAGTGAGAATTTGAAAGCAGCAGAGTGGAATGCTTTGGACTGTAAGAGCTAAAAGGGTGATGACAGAAAAATACAGAAATTCACAGTCAAAGCAGTTCTGATGGAAATCAATACAAATGGATTAAGCTGCCAAGTACAAGCCACAAAGAAGCAGATCAAATAAGAGCCAGCAAGACATTTTAATAATCAGTCCTTGAACTGGACAGTGCTTGTCAGACTGACATCAGTTAAGCTAGGAAAGGAATACTTGAGAGAAGTTCATTATAATGCACCTTAACATTGCCCTGACGCATCTAAACTCCTGTCTGCTGAAGGAGCTGGAGCAGCCTGCTGCTCCACAATCAGGACAGCTTAGCCTGACAGGCTGGAAGAATGGGCTGAATTTTAAGTGAGCTTCAGCCCAAGACCCAGGTTTGCACCTTGAAGATAACAGCAGCTGAAAACCTGCCCCACAGAGCGGGAAGGACATTCTGATGGCTCATCAGTTGCAGCTGCAAATGTAACCAAATGGTGATGTGGTCCCATGGGTGCCAACTCATGGGCCACCTGCAAGGTCAGGTTTCTGCCCACAGCAGCAAAGCTAACAATACTTAACAACTTTCTGTATCAGCTTATGAATTCTATCCAGACATACCCTGAGTTATGGATAAACCTACACATGCAGTTATTTAGTGAATCTGATGTTTCAATAATGAAATGAAATACAGTTTATTTTTGCTGTTACATTTTGATGCAAAACAAGAAGCTTCGGGCCTGATAGACTACTACTTAATTTATACCAAATGTTTTAACTGTTATCAGTCGGGTGTTTCAGACACTTTCCTCTCTGAACAGAGACCCTAAAATGCTAATGCAGCATCACCAATTCCCTCCCTTTTGCTTTTTTATTAAACCATTTTTATATTAAAAAAGTTGTTTCCAGCAACTTCAGGTACTGCAGTGGTGCAGCACTGCACTGTGCAACTTTGCATAACGGAAGGTTATATAAAGGCAAATTAAAAAACAGTATTTTAAAACTACTGTAAAACACATAGAGTGTGCACCATATAGGTCATAATCCAAACCCATTTTAATCCAAGTAAAACACTTGTTAAAACATTTATTACAGAACTGAACACAGTTATTTATGGATGGCTGTATCCTGATTTCTAGCTTTAGAACCACGGCTCAGCAAATGATTCATGCCGAGTGCAATCACCACCCGCCTGCCTTCCTCTCCTCCCACTGTGCCCACAGGAGGAAAGCAAACCTGGCTGCTTCATGGATTAATTTGGCCTAATGTCATTTGATCTCTGCAGATTTTAACTGCAGTATCATCAAAGTCTTTCATTCTTTATTTGGAGGTTAGCTCTAATAGTTTAGGGAATTAATTTTTCTCCTTGTTAGATAGTATCACACATGCCACTTCTCATTTTCATTCCACATACCTATAACCAGGGGGTGGATTCAGTGCAGGCCATGGCCGTGGCTTTGGTACCTACCCAGTGTTTTCCACAGGTATGCAAGGAATGCAGTGCCTGACACAGCAGCAGCAATACAGCTTTTTATGCTACACAAGAGAAAAATACTTGAAGGAGAACAGTCTGTTGATAAAATCAATTTTTTAAAAGTAATATTTTCTAACTAAATGGGAGTATTTGAAGTGGCCTTGAAAAAGACAAAGTTGGCATTCAGACCTAGGTATTACCTGTTCAAACATTTAGTTAAACAAGACATAATAAACACGTGCAAGATTGTCACAGGTATAGGAGATTTTTAGGAAAAACAATAAAAATATTCTTTAAGCTGAAAATAAAATCTCTTACCTTTATATCACGATCTCAGCTTAGAGTCACTACATTTCTGCTTATTTTATACAAGTGCATATGGCTATGAAGGTCCGGAGAGAATGAGAATAAAGTGGTATTAACCTGCTGAAAACTGCTTAGAAGTCTTAAGCTGCAACATATATATGTTCCAATACCATTTAAAAAACATTCACCTTTCGGTTATTGCTGATTCACAGTCCCAAAATATCAACATACAAATACTTAAGAGGAAAAAACCTCAATAAATTTGGAGCAGAAGTTTTCTGAACTGGCTGTTTACCAGATACTGTATTTTCCTATCATTTGGCGGTGATTTTAAGAGACACAAAAGCAACCCATTTGAAAGTCATGTTCAGGCCTACCCTTTTTGTGCCTCATATTAATGATGTGGGGAAGAGAGAGAGAGAATATATCATTTTAATTCGATTTTGGAAAAAATATATATTCTACTTTTTTCTCCTGCCTTTTTGCTACATTTCATGTCTGCTGACATGTGCAATGGTACAAAGCACTACTGCTGCAGAGTGCCCATTGCAAGTCCTTGTAGCAATTTTTATAGGAAACATGCAAATACAGTTGTAGTATTAAAATTCTGAAGTACTTCAGTAGCAAAAGCAAACACAGGATTCTGCTTCAAGCAGGCACTCGGCAAGGTCTGTTCTTGGTTTGGTGTTTGGTTCCCCCCCCCCAACACACCAGTCTTTCCCTTCTAGTGTAAAGAGATACCCAGCAGTATATACACATCTATTGCTATGTACCCAAAGAAAGGACTGTGGCTTGGAGTAAGTATTGCTTTTCATTAAATGGAACAAAGTTCAAGAAGTGAGAAAAAACACTTTAAAAAAAAAGGAAAAAAGCTCAGATTCCATGTCTGAAGTTGAGAAACCTCAAAACGAGCCACGTTTGTTCTTGCTTTTAAGACATGTACAAAATGCCATTTCGAGCCACACAACCTGATGGTTCTAGAAGTCAGAGAAGAAATCTTGAGGGCCCAAGTGAATAATAAAAGGTGCGATGCTGAGAGGCTGGCAATAGGGACTGTCAATGAAAAAACCACCTACAGTGGGAGAAGAGCAGAGAAGCAAAAACTTCACGTTAATTTCCAAGAGACTGGCTGAAGTTGAAGCTCCATTTAAATTTCTCTGCTCTTTCAGCTGCAAGTGGAATTTTCATTGTAAAATGGGCACTTTGAATTCTTTGAAGGTATTGAAACATCTACCACTTCCAAGGTTACCACTTTCTAAACAAAGAACTGACAGCTCATTCATATTTCAGTAAAGCAGAGAAATGTAAAATATGCAGCAAGGGGGCAAGTTTACAATGTGGTTAGTAACTCCCAACAAATGACAAAAAATAAAGAATGACTTCTATAAATCATCAGAAATGACTGCCATCATGTTGGAAAAGAGCATAGCGCCCTCCTTGTTTCTGAAATTGGAACAAGTCGTTTGGCTGATGACTGTTCATTGTATAGAATTGGTTCAGAGAAGATTTGGTTTGAAATTTAACAAATCTGGGGGATTAAAAAAAAAAAGGAAAAAAGAAACTACAAATGGTTGCCAATCAGGGGAACTCCAGAAGAGGGGTGGGGAAAAAAGAATGTGTGCACAGGAAAGATTCCTTTAATGAATATTTGATTAACAAAAATGGGCTCTTATCAGCCATGCTTTTTCTGCTCCGTGATGGCTTCCTTTCATCCATAGGCCAGCAAAGTACATGGTGATTTCTGAGCACTGCTCAATTTGACCGCATCCCCCAGGCCCTGCTCCGTGTCGGCACTACCTGGGGCTGGTGGCACAACAGCTGCCACCACGTGCCAATAGAGCTGCGTTTTTTATTAAAGTACCACCAACACCAAACGAAAGTGAGAGCTCCAGCAGAAGGAAACCCATTTCAGATACAAACCCATTCCTCTGCACAAGTACCTCAGTTAATCCCAGAAAAGCAGCCTGTTACACAAGCTGCCCCTTAATAAGCTTTTCTACTATTTCTTTCCCTCTAACGGGGGTGTAGGGGAGAAGGAACTTTACACTGCTTTAAGCACTGCTCTTACACCCTCTTGATCTAAAAGCTCCCCCTGCCTTGGCAGCAGCATCTGTTAGAGAACCAGTGTGTGAAGGCATTCCTTGAAGGAGCATGAACTAAAGCAAACCTACGGAAAAGCAACGGGCGAGGCCTCAGAAGTGCAACCAACAACGCTGCTGATGTGGGGTGATACCTTAATAAAGACCACTTGAGTCCCTTGTTAGAGCCCACAGAGTTTATGCAGAACTCTACAACAGGTGGAGAGAGCCCGGAGTTGGCGCCTGTCCTGGAATTCCAGACAGGAACGCACACTCCTTGGTGGGAAGCGGAGTCTTTCGGTTTGAGCACCAACTCTTAGAAAGTACTGGCCTATGGCTGAAGTGTGTCACTTTTCACAGCAGCACTCAACAAGAACTGGGACAATTAAATAGCAAGTTTTCATGGGGACCTTGTTGCTGCTTTAGATTCTTATAAATGTAAGGGGGAAAAGGAGATGCCTTTGTTTTAATACAAGATTGACAACTAAAATGCTTTCTGTAGAAATGGTGGATGGAAAATCAAGGGTGGGCAGACAATCGTAAAGTGAAGAAGGCCACAAGAACAAGTGCAATTTGTTTTTTCTTATTTTTTTCTTTTTTTTTTTTAAAAAAAAAAACAGAAAAGAATGGAAAAAAGCAGCTTTTGAGCTCTAAAGAACCTGATTGTAACATTATTGTTGTCCTTTCTCTGGGCAATACGGACTGAACTGTGTGTCCCTGGAATTACATACAAGAGTCCTTTTGTGGGAACTTCCTTTGTTTAGTGCTTGTTTCACAGAATGCGACCTAATGCAGAGACAGTCTGAGCTTAATTCCCTTTGTTCTGCTTGTTTTGCAGTGTGTGCAAGTGAAAAGCCTTCTTGGATAATTAAGACTGTGCCTGAAATCACAGTTAAAGTTTGCTGATTTAAAGGTTATAAAGGAAACTCAGGTACTGATGCTTAACTATAAAAAATAAGATAAAACAATATTTTAGCCAATATTTTACTAAGTTTATTACACACCATAGTATTTACAAAGTTAAATGTTAACTGAAAAGTTGCTATTGTGGAGGTTTGGTTTGGGTTTTTTTATTCTATTTTTATTTGTTAAAGAACTCTGCCCTGCATTTAATAACCCTACCACAAGTACAGTCATTAACTGGATCTGTGTGACTGCATGAGGAAACAGGCAGTACTCTCGTGTTACAACAAAACAGTTTATTTGTGATCAGTGTTTTATATTCTATACATCCTTCACAAATTTAATTTTACATAATCGGATACTTCATTTAAAACGTAAGATTTAAGCTTCTAGTTCTTCCCTATAACAGAAGGCTGGTATAAGTTATTTGAAAATGAGGTAACATTTCACAGAACATTGTTTTTTTTTCAAGTTTTAGAGAACTAAATTTGCATTTTGTTAAAATCAAAAAGTAGGAAAAAGATGTTTCTTTACAAATGACTTTGCTCAAGTATGTGTTCAAAGAAAACAGGATAAAAAGGCTTTTTTTCTTCTAACATTCTGTACTGTACTGTGTTGTTCAATCAGTGGGAATTAGCTTCTGCCATTTGCTAAAAGAATGAGTAGTGGGGAACAGGATAAGTTGGGAATTTCATAACTGGTAACAGAACCATTCTCTTGGGTAAACCTACAGAGAAAAGAAAGGGAGAGGACTCCAAATCAGTGATCCAAGAAAGTCAGATAAGAGTGTACAATTGTGTTCTCATTAACCTTTTCCAGATCAGTCAATCAATGTGGTTTTAGGGTGCAGAGTCCCACAAACAGAAACACTTTGACACTGGCACTATTTCAAACAGATGGTTAGCTTAACCTTTGCTTTTGTCCTGGTGTTTGGTAATATTTAAGTAAGCAATACTCTCAAAAGCAGAGCGTGCAGTTGGACTTGAAGCTCTGCTTCATAATCGTTACGATAACTAAACTCTACTATCTCCTCCAGTGTTCTGAGCTAATATCACAGGTCAGTTACAACTGCAGGTAATCTAGACAGGCACTGCTGTGTGTAAAAGCAAACTCACAGGGAAACTGTTCAGCAGTTCTGATAAGCATCCAGCTAGGTCAGCCAGAAATCAAGCACCTACAGTAAATGCTGCATCTGCTTCATTATTCTGCATTTCCTCTCCTGTATTGAAGTGGCAAATCTGGAAAGATTAATATCTGCCTGATTTCATGATTATTAGAGAGTTCTTGTGGCCTCACAGACTTCTGCATAATTAAATGGTGATTTGTTTTTTTAAAATCTTGCCTATTTAAATTCTAGTATTTAACCTATATGTCCATTTAGAAATCACAAAGCAGCAACAGCAGGTATTCCAGAGCACCAGATGATCAAAGTGAAGTTTCCCAACATGCAACAGCTTACAAAGGCAAAGAGACATGTTTACCTTACAGCCAAAAAGCATTATCCCAGGACTTCGCATCACAATCATAGGACATTAAAAACAGAAACTCTTTATGTGAAAAATGGGGGCATTCAATTCCACAATGCTTTGAAGTCAGTGATATGTCACATATACACAGCTAAGTGATAAAAACCCAGCTCCCAAAATAGGCATCATGAGAAAAAACACAGAACAGAATGAATGAGAAAGGCACAAAAAGCTACAAGGAGAGTTGGTAACAATTACGTTCCTCTTACATCACTGTATAGCTGCTTGTAAAAACACACACATGCAGATACATCTCATCTTAGCCCTAAATCATCTTACTCATTTTAGTAAGCCCTTTCATTTTTCCTTGAGAAAACATGTAGCTGTTCTTTGTGTAATGCAACACAAGAGAGAGTGCTGAGTGGGGCAGCCCTGCTGCCAGCTGCTGTTCTGTCACAGCACTTGCCCAGCCCATAGGGCAGGAGTTCTACAAGTCAACTTCACTTTGGAAAGGAGAATCCCCCACTGTGAGCACAGCCCCTGGGGCTGTTCTCCCTTCCCTTCCCACTGCAGCAGTGTGCAGTAGGACCTATTGGTCCTAGACAAGCAAAGTGAACATTTTCAGTAAAGCAGCAGCGTTCCTCCCCTGTTTATAGGTCAGACCTCTAAAATAAAGTCAGGAAATCTATGTTTCAAAGTATTTTTAACTTTTATAATGCTATCAGGGGAGTTGGTGTTGCCCAAACTATACAAATTTGAGAGGAACCAGTACTCCAAATGCTATAAAAGCCAGAAAATTGATAGCAAAATGCAGGCTTAGTTTCCCATATGAAAAACACAGGCCTGGAAATGTCCTGGGCTTCCCCCAGTCCCTGCACAGGAGAGGGCTTGCTCCATGTGCCAGGACATATCACTGACTCCAAATGGCTTTGCTCCCATTGCCACATAAACCTCATTCAAAGTAACCAAAAGGGCCGGTTAGAAGTGTGCATTGTTAGTCCAGCATAAGAACAGCCAGTGGGGAGGGAGAAGCTGAGTTAAGAAAAACCCTTCCTCATAGCTCTCTGATACAGTCTGGATGAAGCCAGTGCTTTGCCAGCCTAATATCGCTGTGGTTCTTGGTAAAAAGCATTGTGGTGAATAGTCACATCCTAGCTTCCTTGTGGCTGGATGGCTGACAGTACAAACTACACAGAACCCATTCTGCTTGTCCCAAGCAGCAGTGTTTTAGCCTGCAGGGGCATCAGGGTGGGGGTATACACATAAACTTTATGGAATTGATGGCATTAAGGGAGCTTTGTCCACAAGCCACTTACGCTTGGGGACAAACATTTTGCCAGTGCTACTGTAATGCCATTTAGGTAAACACAGGACAGAGATGCTGAAATAGGCCCTTCGGTAGTCTTTGAATGGAGCACATATTGGCTGTAAAAAGTAAGAGAACTACTTCAATTTCAGTATGAAAGGGAACAGGCAATTAGAACAAGCAGTCCTTCCACGAATCAGGCAAAGCATAGGCAGAAAAGCTACTCCAACCAAAAAAGAACCACAAGGTTATGGCATAAAAGTGGTGTTGTTGTCATGGTTTTAAGAGCTTGAATCTCTTTGACTTTCTCCTTGGACTGCCACATTTGGACTGCCACAACAGATACAGTATCATTTCTAATGTGTTAATTACTGGGCTATACATACCGTAAGCTGGTGCGGCTGTACTGTACCCATACGGTGCTCCGTAGCCTGCAACACAAACACAGAAGGGGTGGGTTTCATTTCCTTCAGTACCTGAAGATGATCAGTGTTTGCACACCAACACACAGGGAGAGACCCCTACTGGGACATGAAGCAGGGCCACAAGATACCCAAGCACTGATACATATAAATATTGCTGAGAACATTCACATCTTTCTGCATTTTGGCTTGAAGAACAAGCCTCCTCCCCATGACCTTCTTAAGCCTCAGCATCAGTTAAATGCTGTATTGCTTTTCCTTAGCACTGTCTTGCAGCTGAAGCCCTCAAGTCTGCACTGTCAGAGCTGGCATGACCCAAACATCCCCTATTTGCCAATAAAAAAATACCCTAAACTACATATGCAGTCAAATGCAGGGAACAGCCATATTTGTCAGCTTCCATTAGAAAATGCTCGATGCTTGATGCAGGTACCACAGCACCTCAAGAAAGCTGTGAATTCTAGTGAATTGTCATTTCTAACAGTAAGTTTCACAAAGGGCAGCTGAATAGTTAGAGGCAAACAGCAGCAGCCTTTTTTCCCCAAAGAGCTAAGCATGACTGGAATGAGCCAAAAAGGAGGAGTGGTTAACATGTGTCTTGGTTACTATATCTCAGTAGTTCATGAAGGCTTTACAGTGGTTTTTCTCATGTGATTGCTTGTGTCCATCACAGAATGCAAGAGATATCTGAGAAAAAATGGGGATGAAGAGAAATAATCTGTGAAGGCCAAGGCCAAGAAAAGCTTAACAACTCCAGCGACTGGGAAATTAAACTTCTTTCTGGAGTAATTCCACGCTGGCAAGAAGCATGCCCCTGGCAGGTTAAAGTGTCTCATAAATGACTCCTCAGGCAGAAAGACAGTTCCAAAAACAATGTTAACAGCCATTAAAAATGAATTACTGGGTTTTAATATTTATAATCATATGAACATACAGGAACAATGAAGGCGACATGCTGTCGACTGTGCCAGGAAGCAAGTCTACCGAACAGCAGGGCTGTGCTATCAGTACATGTGAACTGCCAAAGGCTACAATTAAGCTCATGCTGTAATCCAGAAACCTGAGGATGAGGAATGAAATTTTAGTTTTTGGAAGCTACTGGATTTGCTTTGACAAAGGAATCTCCAGCATCTCATTCTTAGAAAATCTGTGGTTCTTATTCCAAGTAAACACAATGTCTAGATTCCCTTCAAATGTCACCTACAAGCCAGACATGTAGAGTCACAAAGAACAATGGACACTTTGGAAAGTAAGGGGAACCACAAAGGGAACATTTCATTAACATTTTCTTGTGTGTATCTTTTGTCATTGGGTATCAGTGTCATGCCTTACCTGGTGTTATGTAGCCAGTAGCAGCAGCTGCTCCAACAAATGCTCCTCGTGTTAAAGCACCTCGTCCTCTGCCTCGAACAGCCTGGACTGCTGCAGAAACAGCTGTATTGACAACCCCTTTAGTCTGCCCGGAGTAATGAAAAAGAGCAATTCAGAAAGTGAAGGTGTTGCCGGAAACAGAAAGGCCACCTGCCTTAAATTGCCACCTTTAAAAACATTTCTTTAAACATGCTCAATGCACCAGTCTTGTTGAAGACAGAATGCAGACAGAAGAAGCACTGTCCTGAGAATCAGACTGACAGGAACCAAGTGAGCATGTCCCTGCCTGCAGTGCCCAGCCCTGCACATTGAGCCCAGCACGTTTGCTTCACTGAGAGTGAGTGTTATTTACCTCCAACCTGGTCATGAACAAACACTGGTGGCTTCTGACCCTTTCTCTGTTCTGTCTCTGCTGGCTTCCCACTGCCTTACAAGGCCTTTACCTGGCTAGAAATGACCCTCCCTGAAATCTGTGCATCTCACATGATGCAGGAGATGCTCTGGCCTGAAACACAAAAGACTTCCACATCCTCACTGAACTGCTGATCTTAACTGTGTCTCCATTAGTTAATCAGCACCTCTCTTTCTTTGGGCCTCCTTTTAAACTGTTTCCCACAGTATGGTTCTAACTATCAGATTATACTGTTACTCTACAATAATTACAGAAGAGTAAAAATAGAAACCTTACACACATGCATAAAACAAGAGACAAATCATTTGTTTCCTGTAGAAGTTCTGTATCATCAAGCAGCCCAGAGCTGTGATAGCAGAGTAGTCCCAAAAGCAAATTATAATTCTTACCTGAGGAATAATCTTCTTTTTCTTGTTGTTTGCTGCATTAGGCCCAGAAAACAGTTTTTCAAGTGCTGCTAATGCAGCACTTGCTTTTGCTACTTTCTTATTTGGGCCTGCGCCTCTGAACTTCTGCCCATCTACTTCTACCTGAAAACCAAGACATAGGTTTATGCCTAGTGTTCATCCCTGGGAACATCATGATATACCCACTTGTGCCACCCATAAAGAACTCTCATAAAAACAAACCAAAAATATCCTCAGTGTTTTATATGACAGTTTCCATTGCTTCTAGATGATGAAGCTGATAAAGAACACTTAAGTGATCCTGTGAACCATTATATCACACATATTGGGAACTTGGAAATGATAGCTGAAATTTTACTTCCCTCCTCCTCCTCATGTCAAGACATGATGTAGTTCGGGGCTGTCAGAATCCACCAAGCCTGTAACTCTGCTTCACTCACCTCCATCACAAAGCGCTTGTCATGGCTTCCACCTGTCTCGGAGATGAGCTCGTACTTCAGACCTCTTCTTTTTTCATTGAGCTCCATCACTGGGTTTTTGCCACTTGCTGTGAGTATAGGACCCTGAGTTCTTACCTAGAGAGACAGTTACAGTGCTGCTTTAGAGCCGTTATCTCTTTGAAAGGCAAACAAACATCTACAGCTTGGTGGCTGACAGTGCCACATGGCCACTTGGAGAAAGGCAGCATTATCACTGACAAGCCTCTGTGATAGCTTGTCCTTCCCAACATGCAGCCCTAGGCCACTTCCCAGGTACAGAGCTGTATCAAAGGCAACACTGCTGTGCCTTCAGTATAACATCTGTGCTGCAACAGCAGATGGAGAGTCTCTTCTCTAAACAATGGCAGGGGGACAAACAATACTGCAAAAGAAGTTACACCTATTTCTACTATTGAGCTACTGTCCTTATGGCCTGGTCTGGTGTCCACACAAAGCTACACCAGCTGCACTTGGAATTCCAATCCTGAGAGCATCCAAAGCTGAAGTTGAGGCCACATTTCTTTGGAATTGAAGGCTTTATCACTGAAAAGAGAGATCAGCCTTCCCAGCCTCACACACAGCTCTGCTGCTGGGGCTAATTCCGTCCTGGCACTACGGAGCTCAGACTGGAGACGTCTCATCTCTTGGGTCACATGTTTCAGCAGAAATATCTGTAGCTGTTTGGGAAGGGAGGAAGGTGAAGCTGCGATCTCAGCGCACTGGCGTATCAGCCTGGATTAGAATGCACTCAGCTACAGATACAAATGACTGCTCGCTAAGGAAGAAAAAGATTAAGGGATCAAAGCACTGTTTGCCAAAGCAACTTCTTATTTTGGATAAAGATCAAGAGTCCTAGTGCCAGGACCTGCCCTTTGAAAGTGAAATGTCTCAAACATGGAAACCCAAAGTCGTGCTGCGTGGGAAATACCTTAGTCATCTTGAAATACTACCCATTTTTGTGATAAAATAAAATTAATTTTAAAGGAAAATTAACAGGGAAGTTTGTGGAGTATAAAATACCCCCATTTCCTTTCCCTGGTTATGTCTCAGTGAACCAAATACATCTGTGAATTGACTGTACACCGTATGGAAATGAGGTGGCTTCCAACTGAAGAAATTCATGTTTTAACATCTTGACAAGTACTCAAAGAACAGAACAATTACTTACATTTACAGCACAACCTTCCCCCTGCTTAGGTCTCAGATTTCTTAACACCTCCTAATGAATTTTTCTACTTTCATTGGTCTTCATGTGTATCAGTTTAAGACACTGTGTAAATACATCTTTCTGACACCCCCCCTATTGCAAAATGGAAATTGTGACATTTGCATCACTACAGCCCAAAGGCAATAGGCAGGATGGAGCCACCCCAGTCACCAGACCATACATAAACTAACTACAAGAGACAACCCCTGCCTTCAAGAATTTCTGGTCTTAGGAGGTCAGGATTGCTACATCCCCCTTAAACCTGAGGAAAGGAGGCACAAAGATTGGTTATCTGTCTGCAGTGACACAAAGCCACTGGCAGATTTGAGCCTGGAAACTCTTATTAATTCCTCACTCACAACCCTAAACAAAATGCCATCCTCTTATGGGAGCAAGATTTCTTTCTAATGCAGTCCTCACCTCTAGGGTAGCGGAGGTGTCAGCTGTGGAATTTCCAGTATTATTGCTTGAGACTGAAGATGTTGTTTCACTTTTACCTTCAGTATCTGATTTTTCATCGGAACTCATACACTCCACGTCTGCATCAAAACCAGTTGGGTACCCCATGGCTTGTAAAACCTACAACATAGCCACATGACATGAACTGTAAAATAGTACAGAAATAAATACAAAGCTGATCACAACACAGAAGAATGAATTAAGGCAGATTGTTTAGAAATACATTTTCTCCTGTGTTGAAATGGAGAAAACCACCATGGCAATGGGGAAAACTGAAACAGCTGTGGTACATTTTGGCTGCAGTACATTTTGGCTGCATTTTGAGGGCTTCTAAATGTTAAAAAGGTCAGATCTAGAAACTGAAACAATCACATTATTCCCTCTTATACGTCTGGGAAAGTGGGGCCCAGATCTGCTAGGAAAAAACAAGAAAGAAAGGGAAAAAAAAAGCTCGTCTCTACCACACCACCCATTTCCTCTTGGCTTGAATCATGGCTGTTTTGAAGTGTAGCCCAGGATTTGTGTATGTGTAGATGTAGAGAAAACAGAGCTGGGCAGGCACCAGCACAGATCAGGCTGATGCAGAGGGGTTCAAGGGCAGAGGAGTCACAGCTTTTCAGGGCAAGTTTTGTATTACATGGGGTTTTTTTATTAACTGCAGGGAGGGAGGCAAAATAAAAGACTGAAGCAGAAGGTCTGGGAGGACACACATGCAGAGAGCTACTTTTCCTGGAGGAACAACAGATTCCCTCAGATATTTCTGGACACTTTGAACTTGAAAGCACATGGGACAATGGGATTTTCAAAACTGAAATCAAAGGAAAGCAGAAAGTTGCCAGATGAAGCTTCTAAAAAGGAAATTCTTGTTTGAAACAAAACGCAGCACAGAATGACAGATGGGCTTGTTCCTGTCATAAGTGCAGTTGTATTAAAAGCGGTTTTCTTTCCTAGAGTTGTTCAGGTTGGAAAAGACCTTTAAGATCATTGAGTCCAACCATTAACCCAGCACTGCCAAGGCCTGTAGATGGGTATCGTGTTCGCCAGCTTCCAGTCCACTGGGAGCTCCCTGGTGAGCGAGGACTGCTGATAAATAATGGAACGTGGATCACTGAGCACTTTGCCAGATCCCTCAGTACCCTGCACTGTCTGTAGGAAACTTCCTTCCCAGAAACCCAGCAGACTGTCTCCTTTAGCTGTCTGAACTGCCCTCATGCAACACAAGGATGTTCATGTTGGGTGCTCTAGTCTGTCACTGCTCTGCAGAGCTAAGCTCTATCACAAAAAGCACCTACAAGAAGTAACAGTAGGTTGACTGCTACCTGAATGATACTAATGTCTTACTAGAAAACTGAGTGGAGACCAATAATTTATATTGGTGTACACTGTCTACCCCAGTGTGTAAAGGTACCCTTCAAACACTGAAGACTGAAACAACTCTGTATTTCCAGGAGCTCACAACCCAGGAATAAACACACAGAAGAAAAGGGAGAGAGGGAGCCAGCAACATGCCATTTTCAAACCAGCAGGAGGAAGGAGTAGAACAGAACAAAACTGAATCCCTCCAGACCAGAACTTACATGGGCTGACCTGCAGAGCCCTGGGAAGTTCTCCCTCCCCACTGCTAGGATAAACCAGTGATGCTCTTTGAGCCATGCCCAGCTGTGTTTACAGTACACAGGTAGTAGCTCAGCTTTATCTAATATTCTTTTTAATTTTGAGGTCACATATTACGAGTTCTGACCGTATTTCATACTCTATGTTCCAAGACCTGGGTTAGCAGATTACTTCAGGCTGCCTTACCTTCACTGCCACATGGAGCTTGGCTGTTTTCTTAGAAGGTCCTGATGCTTCGTATGTTGTACCATCAACATCTACAGACATTGTGAAGACTGGGGCATGGACTGGACCAGACTGTGACAGCAGCTTATACTGAAGCCCTGGCCTGATTTGGTTCAGCCTCATCAGAGCATTCATGAGATCTATTGCTTTACTATCTAGTACTAGTACAAGATAGTAGAAAGGGGATGGGAAGGAGGGGGGAAGGAAAATGAACAAAACAAGATGAACAACAAATGAAAACAGTTTGCATTTCAGTGCCTTCCTTCTGTAGAAAGGAGCAAAATAACCCCTCAGCCTCTCAGAGGTCATAAGGCTGTTAAGTCTTTACTAAGCCATTCTACTTTGGAGTAATGACTGTAATTACCCAAGTTTTAATACTGTTGACACAGTTCTTTTGCAGCTAGCCACAGCCTTCCCAGCTGCTGTAAAGGAGTAACAAGTTTTACAGGTAGTGAGATCCAGAACTGGCACCAAAGTAGCACAATGAAAATAGCTCCCAGAACCGGCTAAATCCCAGCAGTGCTGAGGGACTTCACTCTGTGCACATGCAGTGTCAGTGTGCTGTAGATTAAGCATTTTATTGTTCTTATGGGAGGTGTTGAGAGACCAACAACTAACTCAAAAAGGGGAAGACTGCAAAAACGCAAATCTCCACACAGCAGTCACTGCAGTAATTGGGGGGGGGGGGGGAAACAAACCAAACCAAAAAACCCCACCCACAATACAGGGACATTATCAGTAAAACACCTCAGCTGCTTGGGCAACTTCAGTTTCACTGTAACTTCACAGGTAACCCCATTTAAAAATGCAAATCATTCAGTTAGTAAAACATGTCAGGGGAAATCAGATGCACAATAAGAGATGTGTTTGACATTCCAAATGCAGGGTGATAGAGACAACATTTGTTGTTCCAAAGACTTTTTCACATGCTATTCCACACCAACACAGAGAAGCTTTTAAACCAGCTCCCACCATACAATAGATCTTTGGAAACAGAATGGAGAAGCATTGCACTTACTTTTCCTCAGATTACGCTTCATCTTTTTATTTGGATCTTTATCATCCCCAACACTATCTTCAAATGGCCTCTTAAGAGCAGAGGAGCCTGTACCTACGGTATAAATTTCCTTGTAATATGGATTTGCTATTGAAAAACAAAATTCCACAGCAGGAATCTGATTAGTCCCATGTTGGTCCTTGCATGTTTATAATGAAAAGAACTCAGCCATCAGTTAAAACTTTCTTACTGCTACACGTAAGCCAGTATTAGCTCATTGTACCATGCCACGCAGGATGTCTGTTTCCAGTATTGTGTGATACGAGTGGTGTAAATCTGCAGTGTTGTTTTTTTTACAGTTAATCTAAGGCAAGAACTCTACTAATAATGTTTTTACAAAAAACATACGAGAAAACTTATTTGTATCACATGTATATTGTTTTCTAGGAAGAATTCTTGAGTAATTCTTATTGTGGACACTCGTTCCATGCTTTTTGATGGTCTCTGCTTCCCCAGCATAAGAATCATAAACACTACGTTTACTCTTCAGACCCCAAGGGCCTTTGTGCTTAAAGCAGATCATCAGCTGTATTTTATAGTTGTATTGCTGCTCCTCCAGATTGGCTTCTAATAATTAAATATTTAAAAAAACCCGAACCCCCAAATCAAAAAAAATCTCACCCAAATCCCAACCCCAAATCACATTTAACAGGAAGAAAAGCCTTCCCTTTGCATTCACAGCTCCTAACCCAGGAATTTCACCCATTCTAAATCAACCCCTAGTTTACTGCCCAATTAGAGATTTTTGAACCAAACAGCACCTACCTTCTTTGTCAGTTACTGACCAGGAATATTTCTGAAAGGACTTATTTGATGGGAGGGGGTCCATTTCCAAAACCTTATAGATCTGACCAAAGGCTGATAATCTGAGGGCATGCTATAAAGTGACAGTAGAAAAGTAAGTTACTTCATAGCACTACTTTACCTTGGTTGTTTTAAGCTTCTAAATAAGTTTGTCTACACAAAATCACTTCTGCTATGGGAAGAGAGTTTCTCCACCTGTCTCCTGTTATAGCTACAGAAAATACTAATGTCTAAACATTTAAAACTCATTAATTTCTGCAATAGAAAGTGCAGGGCACATGGACAAGGGAGCCTACACAAGGGCTGTGTGCTGTAAACACCTGAGGTGGGATGGAAGCAGCACACAGACACTAGACTGCGCTTTGTTATGGATTAGACTTAACACATATTTAACTCTTGCACTCATGAACTATCATGTAATCGTTCCCAGGTAGTGCACTGGAAGAACTGTCAGGACTGCCAATAAAATCAGCTGTCCTGGCAGGGAATAAATTGTCTTAATGAAGTGAAATCCTCCCTGTTATCATACCCAGCTCCTCAGATGTACGAGGTTTCTACCTGCGCACTGTGCGTAATGGCTTCTTTTTGCTGAACTGTCATGTACGACAGAGCATCTGTTGGCTCCCGTTCACAGGGGTCATGCAGACCAGGGCCTCCTAGGGAGGGAGAGAGGCAAAGCAGATTACTGACAGTAAATGAGAAGCAATATGAAAATGGGGACTGAGGGATATTGCAACGGAAGCAATATGAGAATGGGGACTGAGGGATATTGCAACACTGCCTTCAGCAGAGTGGGAAGCAAGGGATTCTCTCATCCTACAATGCAAGCTAGCCTCAGGATTTTACTCCCTTGCAGCAATGGCCACAGAATTTACCAGGGTTACCACTAATTGTGTGTAATAGTATGAATGAAAAAAAAAAAACAAGTATTTTTGATAGCTATGTATATTTCAATGAATCTACAGGAAACATGGTAATTAAATCTGACCATTTTTTTGCAACCCCTTAATAAGATAGGGGTTAATTCAGAAACAAATTTAACATTCCCCATTAACTTCTACTGCATGGAAGCACTCAGTTACAGCCAGGCAACTTCCTTTTTTTTTTTAGCCCCATTGCAGGTTAGGAGTTCAGGGCAGGCATTTTTCACAGCAACACCAGATGTTAAGGCTGTCTGGTCAACCCTCTGTGTTCTTGAAGTTCGTTTTTAGCCCCTTACCAGGAAGCAGAATTCCAGATGCCAAGCACTCCATCACTCGTCGCAATGCTTCCCCAGCACCCAGAGGTCTATTACAAGTACCTATAGATTTTTCACATATAAGCTCGAGTGGCTAGAAAACATTAAATTATGATTAGTATGGACACAAGGGTAACTGTAACTGCAGTTAAATATGGAAGGGCACAGGGGAAGGACATTCTCATCAGTTTACTTAATTTGTAACCCACTACAGGTCTAAGGGACAGAGCCATCCCCAGAGGACAGCTCATGGCACATCTGTCTGTTCCCTGCTCTCAAGTCACCTTTTGCGGAAGCCAACTGCTCTCCATTGACTGCCCAGGAAGTCTAAAAGTAGGAGCCTTTAAAGCCAAATCACCTCAATGCTCTCACAGGGTCATCAGTTCTCCTGCCTCCAGGACCTGCCAACTGCTCCTCTACAGGTATGCAGGGCACTCAGCCCTCCCCAAACACACTAAGGTGGAATACTAACCTCCAGGAGGAGCAGCCCTGTCACAGTCACAAGGTATTTTGAAAAGCTAAATTTGGGAGGCAGCAAGTGGGGTTCTACTGTGAATCCTTGAGGATGCACAAGGCCCACAACATTACAGCTCTCTCTAGACTGAACAAATACATTCTTTCCTCCCTACAAGCACTTTTCTACAGAGGTTTTGGTTAGTGGGGAGCAAACGGAAGGGGGGTTAAGGAGGAGTTTCATACATTGCACTGTTTTCTCCAGTCCAGACACTGCTACAGGTCTCAGGAGATCTGAGACCTGACCTCGTGGCCTTCAGCTCTTTCTGTACTTACCCATCCTTTCAGTGGTGCCCATGTGGGGACTCTGTTGCACAAATCCCGCAGAATACGAAGGACAATTACACATGATTTTAGTCCATTTGCCCTGGCCTAAAACAAACAAAATGATTCCAATACACCTGCAAAAACCTGGCCTTCAATTTTGTTTTTAAATGCACAGAGTCCTGGGATAGATTCTTTAATTATTATTACTTAATACTTAATCAGCTTCATGCAAAATAAAAGTTATATAAAATGCTTCAATTTAGAGAGACATATAAAAAAGGAAGCAAAATGTCAAGATTGCTTTTGTAGCCTCATGACACCTCTCAACCAGGTGGCTGTCTACCTGTCACCTTTGCCCTTGCACAGTACAGCACTGAATTCTAGACCTTTCCTCTGTGAGGGACTAGTGAGAAGTTAGAGGCATTCAAATTAAAACTGTCTCAAATTAAACCTCGTAAGGCTACAATAACAACAAGGTAAGAACAAATAGCCAACCTGAAACCATTTGGCGTGCCGCAGAGACGCCAAGGCCTCCAGGCATTTCTGCCTGTCCAATAAGTCCGGAGGATCTTTCATCGCAACATTGTCTACTGGTAAAAATGGGATAAAAAGAGACAGATACAATTTGACCAAGGGGTTTCTGTCACAATACAAAAAGAGCGGCAGCATCTCAATGAGATAATAAGACTCCCAGAATTTAAGTGCACTGTGTTATTTAATTTAAACAAGCCATTAAAGGTAGTAAATGTGCACGTGTGCAACAGAAGCAAAGGCATTCACTCCATGTAAAATAATAGTAATAATAAAGATGGCCACTGCTACAGACAATCTGGGATCTTATTAAAAATGTAGAACACATTTCAGGGCAGAAAATAGCTATATAGCACTTTTCTTTCTTTTTTTTTGTGTGTGCGTTGGGTTGTATTGGGCTTTTTATAACTCTTCTTGCCCTTCTTCGTGACTTTTATTCCACAAAGGTGGCACAGAATTTCAGAGAGATGAACTTTTTTTGACAAGAGGGAGATATTCTTGGGGGGATATTAAAAAAATTGTAATATTAGAAAGTGAAGTTACATCCATAAATTGAGAATTCCAAAGAAAAACGTAGACTATATTTGAAATAATATTGCATGAACAGTACCAGCCAGTACAATTCAGTGAAAAAAATACACAAGAAATGCTGGTAAGACATTTTACAGTTTGATGAGTCCTTCACATAACCAGAACATACGAAAGAAGTGAGTTTGCTAACTCCCAGATTCTTAACGCATTAGAGAGGAGGTCCCCTCCTGTAAAAATCTTCCCTTCCCAACAGCAACTGAAATCAGTGAGGAAACACAAAGGAGGCTCTGAGAGACAAGACACCCAAATCTTCTGTGCAGGTTTACACTGGTTTCTTCTTTTTGCTTTTTCCCCCTCCATTGTTTTATCCAGCATGCAACAAGCTGCTTTTAGCAGTCACATCCTATTCTATAACAAGGGACATTATGCATCCTTTCTTCTCTGATTTCTTCTCCATCCTAAGGAGTTACTAGTGTCCAGATTCTCTGGAAACCCTGCACAAATGACAGATTTTGCCTATCTGTGAAATCAGATTTAAAAGATTTTAGTTTTTAGCTGACATGAGAACAACATACTAGAAGAACTGAATGAATTCATGGCTCAACTAAAACCTTGAATATGTTATTTTCCTGTGAATGCAGAATTACACTTTGTTTCAAAATAACTAATTTGGAAAGATAGTATTTTCATTATTCTTAATGGACAGTTCTCCAGGTCCTGAGACCCTTGCACAGGTCTGAATGAAATACACCACCAAATCCAAACTGAGGGCCATGCTAGATCAGCAGACTCCAGTAAGACATTTAAAATATTAGGACACATTAGGAGAAAATGACAGTTTGTACAATTTATTAATAACATCCCAAAGTACATTTTGTAGGTTACTTTGGATAGATTTGGTTGCATGTGTAATGGAATCTTTCATGTTGGAAGTTGCTTCCACCTCGTGTGCTGCTCAGTTGGGCAGGTTACTCTGGTAAAAGCACATTCTGTTATGATGGATAAAAGAGCCCAAAGACAAAGAAAAGAACCAGTGTAAAGCTGAACAGAACCAGGTCTCTTGTCAAACAGTTTATGGCTGCAGAAGACTCAAGTGCTATAAGCTTATTTTCTAACCCTAGTGAACTTCGCAGCAGATATTTGCATTGTTTCCTGTTGCCCTTATCAACCATGTTACAATACAGGGATTAATCACTCCTCTTGCCTGTTTTGCAAACAAAAGCTTCAAAGTCCCAAAGCACTGGATTTCTGTGAGCACAAAAGGTCACTTTGGAACACAAGGTTTGCTTTTAAATTTCCTTTACAATTCTGTCATTTTTAGGAGCAGTGGTTTGTGGCACACAATTACTGAATGTATGTCCGAGTATTTCTGTAAGAAAACTTTATGGTGGACAATATAAACATCTGCTTAAAGCTCATGTATTGTATAAAACAAGTACTGTCAATGAATGATCAGAATCTTATTTTAAAATGTTAGAAATGGCAAAGGTGACTGATTGCAAAATCGTTCATTTTTTGCAGTGAACTGGATCTTTAACTGCCCAGGGAGTTTTACTCAGTACAAGCCTTTGCCAAAGTGTGTTGCAGCCATTGGCAAAGTGTATTATTTTTTCCTTTAAACTACAAAACATAAACAGAATATTTGCCATTTGCCATTCAGGTGAACGAAAAACCTCACAAGATTTGTCTCAACAAGTTAGGATCATACTCTCGCCTGCAGGATTAAGGTTATTTCCAAAGGTCTAAATTACAAATCCCTTGGAGAACTTTGCCAATTACTGATCCAGTGCTGATGTCCTGAGCACCTGGCACAGATGTTGCAGTCAGCCAACTTTGGAGTGCAAGATTCCATTAAACAGAAAGATGAGGAGGACAGGCAGTGGAGAGGGCGAGCGGCTTGCAGCAGGCTCCCTTTGACCCCCTCGGGAGAATGGCATGTTTCTTCATGCTCTGCCAGTCAGGAAAGTGAGACCCAATCCAACTTTTCAAGTGTGTTTGCAAAACTTTACTTTTTCCCTTGTGCTTTTAACAGGGGCATCAATACAAGAAGTTTAATAAACAGTTAATAACAAAGCCCTGACATTAGCTTGCACTGTGCAACATAGAACCTGTGGTTCTCTCCCCACTCGCTGTATGTGTTCTCTTCACACAGCAGCTGCTAACTTCATTCATTCACTGCTGGCCACTTGAGGAGCGTTGTCTTCTCTGTGGGGACAAGGTAACTCTGGGGCTCATTGCCCTTTCAAAGGCACTGGGCACCTTGGGAGTGTTCACTGGCCCCATCTGCCCAGCAAAGGCTGCAGCAGGAACTGGTTGTTGACTGTTAGTTGATTTCTGCCCCACTTTGGTAAATGAACTTGTTTATTGTTACATGAGCTTGTTGTTGCTGAACACTTGGTAACAACAACTAATTTGCAAGCGACAAGGTTCTGGTCTGGAAAACCCAGTTTATGTTTGATGCTATGACTACAATTCAATTTCTTAAGAAGTTTAGAATTTAAACTGATGCAAAAATGCAGAAATTTTAGGTGCTTGACTGCTCAAGTTGACATGAGAAAGCAGAGCTTTATGGGTAGCCATTTGTGAGAACACTGAGATGCACACACACTGGTCCACTATTTGTTTTTGCTAACAAGCAGCAAAAACAAATAGGACAAACACCACATCTTAAACATGAACACTCTTCCAAAGAGGTGGGGACTGAAGAGAAATCCAGGAATGTTTTTCAATACATTCTGACATCAGGGCATGAAGGCACACACAGCATTCCTACAGAACACATGGGAGCACCGGTACCGTGGTCCGTTGCGCCTAACCTTGCCGCGCTGGTTAGAGGACAGATTAGTGCCAGGCACACCGAACCCAAAACCTTGGTCAGTTTCCCATGGGAGATGAAAGGCCACTGGCAAGTGTTCTGAGCTCCTCCAGTCAGAAGAATGTATGGAATACACTCAAAACCCATATAGAAAGTATAGTTACATTTGGCTGGCATTAGTCAGGGGCAGGACACTTTTGGAGATCTGTGTATTTACAGTATACAGTTTCTCTGAGTATTTGCTCTTGATATTAAATACCAAGTTTTTGTGGTTTGAATCTAAGTGAAGGTGACCTACATATGGTTGGAAATACTATGAAAAAGGTATTCCCCCCCCCTTTCAGTTTACTGAAATCTACATCACACTGCACATACCTCTGAAAGGGAACATGATAAATGTTTCTCTTCACTTGTGATGAATCAATGTCAAAGAACGCAGGCTTTAAAACCAGATCCATTAGCTATCCTCAGCAACTGTGCAGAATGGCAGTGACACTGCTCTGAGAGCAGTGAAATCATTTTAAGATTTTTGAAAAATTAGTACAGAATTTTGAAAAATATTTTCAGATTTTGAAAACAGAACACCTACATTTTAACCATCAGGAAGCATAAAAATCCCATTCAGGAATTCAGGAGGCCTGACAGTTAATGCCACAGCAGAATTACTTCTTGCAAGAAGATTCTTGGATGGAAGCCTTTGTGCTTCCCCCTGGGAGAAAATTACAAAGCCTTTGCCATTAAAGTGTGTTCTGCACTTTGTGCTCTTTCCCAGTAACATGAATCAGCTGCAACTACTGCAGGGCTGAGCTCAGCATCTTATGAGAAGCTGAAGAAGAGCTCAAGTGATGTGTGGTTTATTTTTACTGGTCTCGCAAAAGAGCATGGTTACTAATTTGAGAGTGAGCAGACATTGCAGTTAGGGAACCATTGCCATTCATATGTTTTGTAAGGTTTTTGTGCATCCAACTGAGTGTTTGTTTCAACTGAGGAGGATCCCTCCTGCCATCGCCTCCAACAGAATCCAAGAGAAACTGACCAACGTTCCTCACTGTGCCAGTATTTCAGTGGGAGAAGGAGGAAGCAAAGGACTTGTGGCAAGTCTAGAAATGGGAGAGGAGCAACAGGGAGTTCCCTCGCCCAGGCGGGCCCAGCTGCCTCAGTTGTCATGACAGAGAGTGGCCAGTTGGTCAAAGGTCTGACATCATCCAGTGGCAAAGTTTCTAGGGACAGGTTTGGGAAGCGGAAGCAGAAATTACTGACAAGGATTTTAAAATACATCAAAATCTGGCTATGTTTGCTCTCCTCTGTTTTTCTCGGTTGGTTCCAACCTCATCGGTACTACCAGTCAGCATTCCTTCAACAAGGGGCATGGAACTACAGTGGAAAGGTCGGGAGAAGGAAAAGAAAGAAACTACAATACAGTTTTCTATTTCTATTTTGCTCTAAGGACATGAGGTACAACATTCAATGCACTGTAACTTCAATTGTATCCCAGTGAGGAAATTCTTAAAGCTCAAAACACACACATTGTATCATCAACTAATAAAACTTGAGGGCCAGGATGACACACTGGTGAGCTTTGCAGGAGAGGAGGTTTTACATAAAAAGAGAAACATTTTTATAAGTTTTATCAAGATAACTACAAACCAATCCCACTTGACTGACTTAAATCTGAAAATGAGACTGTGCAGCTCTGGGTGCTCAAGAGTCAACAAGGCTGAGCAAAAGAACTCGGATCTCATTGTATGTCCAGGTTAACACTGAGCAATATTGCTTGCAGATGAAAATGATGCATGTTTACATGGAAATAAAGTGACTGTGGCTTTTTAAGGCACAAACAGCATAATTTGTGGTGGCAGTAGCCAATCCAGTTAGTATATGATATACAATTAAAAAGCTGCTTCCCAGTTCACCCTGCGCTGCACAGTCAGGGCATTTAGATAGAACAGTCTTAAAACCAAGTGAAAATGCTCTCTGTACCTCCTTCCTTCTTATCTGCTTCATCTCGAATGAGAGGGGATGTAAGTATCACCTTCAAAGTCAGCTTGGGCTCCTTTGTGTTACGAATAACAATAGCTGCCTCGTTTACATGCTCCTCCACGAGATACTTCTCTTCTGTAAGTTTCTGAAAGTCACCAAGAAAGATTTCAGGAGTCTCCCAATCAACTGAAAAACCGCAGAAACTCTGTACATTCATGTGCCTCTTAACTAAAGAGACACCTGCAAGACACTGCAGTAACAAGTAAGGCCTTGCCTCCCTCATTAAAAACAAACAGAATATCCCAAATAACATGCTTAAGAAAAACAGGTCTGCAGCAAGGTTAATGAAAATAGAGCAGTTCCACTATATTAGCACTTTCTTATTTGCTAGCATGCAAAATAGCACCAGCAACTTTGTTCTTCGTAAGAACACAGCTTAGCAAGTCCACACTTCTCCAACAGTGCTCCTCTAAAAGCCTAAAGTTCTCACAGGCAGTCTGACCCATGAAACCGTAACCGTCAGTGCAAATGGATGAGGGATTCCAGTGCAGGAACTGCAGTAGCTCACCTAGTCTATGTAGCTGCCATGAGCTGGACCAAACAGACCTTACCCAGCTCTTACAAACCCAAAGATACTCTTCAGATGCCCAATCAATGGAGGTTTCCCCACCTCTCCACATGGTTTATTCTGGTTCTCAGCTGCACATCTAATGTAGATGACCTGTTCTGCAGTAGCAATGCCCCTTGCTACAGTTCCGATTACTTCTCATGGTCCCTTTGGTAGTCCTGTGAGATACTGAATCACTGTCCCTTCACAAACAAACATTAATGTCAAAATTACACCTGCATTTAGTCTAGACTTTGTCGAACCCAGATAATTTCAATTACATAGTTTTCTAGGTGCCCATTCTCACTCCTCTGATCTTCTCCAGTTCGTCCTCCTGCCTCTCTTGCTCCCTTTCCACACAGCACATGAAACTGGATCCAGGACAATACCGCACCCACTTCATTCATTAATACCTGCCCCAGGAAATCCTTGACAATGCCTGGAAAATACGACCTTCCTCTCGTCAGCACACCACTAAATTGAGTGCTTTTAAAATAGTTTTCAATAAGCTTTTTATTTCTTGCTTAGATTTCTTTTGCAGATAATAGTACAAGTGCCGTATAAATCATGCCATTAACTTGCATTGTACCAGTGTTATCTCAAGTGATCTGTATCCACAGGTCTTTCATTAGTCCTTTGGGACGGGCCTCAATCTCCACAAGAGCAAAGAGCCCTGCAGATGGGTGAGAGTCCTGTCACTGTTCCTTCTGCCTGTGAGACCTTGGCTCGTCTCATCAAGACCACAGGGTTAGAATATATCTGACGTACATTCTAACTTCTTCCCTTCTTGCAGTCTGCACTCCTCCAACTCCTTTACTGTTCCTATCTCCTCACTCCTAACCTTCAAAGAAGCAGAGCAGAAGCTGTTAACAGCTCTGTACCTCATGGGCCTTGACCTTCCTCCTCCCGCTGGACCAGCTGCTTCTGCAGAACCCTCCCTGTCTCTTATGCCCATGATGGCTGAAGCTTGATTCACGAGTCAGATAGATGCCTCTTACATCATCTTTTCTGTAATACCTTCTCTCGCAATACTTCTCACAGGATCTTACCTACTTGTTCCTTGAATTTATTGCAGTCTTCACATCCTTCAATTACGACTATTCTGCCATTCTCACTTTTTTGAAGCATATGCTAACTTTTCTTATCACTTTCAACCCTTCTCATCTCACACCTCACTACAAACAAAAAAATTTACTTTTTACTGCTTGATACATCCCCATCATTTTCAAACAAAATTTACTACTTAAAAGATTCGTAGCATTTTTACTTATGGATAAGGCCACATCTGCAGGCACAACATCATCTCATTAAAACAATGCCTTTACATGAACAAATGAATGGTGAGAAGGGAATGGCAAAACACATACTGTCTACGTGGAAATAAACACACGGCATAAAAGCAGATCAGGAGAGAAGCAGATCAGGTTTGGACATGGTTTGGAGAGGCACTTGCAGTGGAATGCTCCAGGGCACAGTTTCTCGGCAGCAGTGTGTGCCAGTCTGGAAGCTGGAGTGATTATTCAGACTCAGCACTGTCAAATAGGTATTATCCCCAGCTGCTTTAAAGAGACTGGTATTAGCTGCCAGTGCTCTTATTGGATGCCAGCATCAGAATTAAATAGCCATAAATAAAAAGAACGATGAGCTCGTGATTAACATGAGCTAAAATGAGCGACCACCTCAAGTGACTTGCTCTCACTTCAGAAGTACAGAGGCGCTGATCTGAGAACAGCCCAAGTGAAACAAAGCAGCTGCAGTGTAGAACCTCAGCTCCAGGCAGGGGACAAGGACAATACAGACCAATCCACACGCTGGAGGATTTCTGGGACTGCACTTTAGATCACATTAGTGGTTGAACAGAGAGCAAGAACGAGCTGGGTTAGTTCCCAAAGAGAAAGGTTAGCTGCCATCACAGGAAACTGACATCACAAACAGGGAGTAGGCAACAGCAGCAGTAAGATGTTAAATTCTGTCCGTAACTACTTTGTGTCACCACATACACACCCTAGATGCCATCCTAGATTCAAAGTATATTTTAATCTCTATCACTTGTCTTTTTTCCTGGCACAAATTCCAGCCTTTACCCAAATACACCTTGCAGTGCTCTCAGCCACTGCTAGAGAACTACTCTGAATCAACTCACCTGAATTTGAGCTGGGAGATTGTCTTTAACTATACATAACAAGGTCTTTGTGGGTTTTTCTTTGCACATGAGCACCAGCTCCAGATCCATATCATCTTTTATCAGCAAGCCCTTTGCAACCAAGCCAATTCTCATAACACCACACAACGTCCGACCACCTTGATCCCTGGAAATGAAACAATTTGGAGTAATTAAAATGGTATTTTCACACATTCAATATAATTGTATTATCCCATCACAGTGAGAAGATACAGATGGGGCTGATGACTGTGCTGAAGTATCACTGGTTAGAAAATGCAGAGCACAAGATTAACTGTGGCCTAGCCCAAATTCAGTATCTGCAGATCTACCGAGAGTAGCAATAATTAATCTAGAGGAGCCCTCTGACAGAAATCCTGCTTTCCAGAGTGATCTCAGCTGTCTTTTAGTGACATTCCAACTTTACACATGGCCACACACCTTTTAAATGTTTGCTGATCCACACATTCAAACCTGTATATTTAAAATTATTTAACTGACTTAGGAAGTTGGAGCCCATACCACAAACTGACATTTGAAGAAAGCTGTTCATTTCCAGAAGTCTTCCAAGCACAGTTCCTTCAACAAATCTTACAGCTGAAACCTAGACAAATAGAGGTCTGACTCCTAGTTTCTACCCTCCAGCTGCAGTTTAGGGGAACATTTAAGAGCTACAGCAAACAGCTTTCAAAGCAACGTAAGAACACCTTAGTTTTGAGTGCTGAAAGACTGCAACAAAGACAGTTTAGTAAGGCTAGGATTACTTAATAACATAAGAAAAATGCAAGAAATGAATCTTGAACAGTTCAACACTGGCTGCTGCCACATGATGCATCTCACACCTATGGCACATCGCCACTATAAACCCTACAGAAAGCATGGAATCAGGAAAGGTGGCAAACTACCTCAGCAAGGCAGCATCCCAGTTCCTATCATTATTACCATCCAGAGGGATAGACTGCATGTAAACAAAAGAAATCCAAGCCCCAGCAAAACCCCAACACCCAAACCAGTCACACTGTGATGGAGGGCTGTCACGTACATCCTAAGCTTCACTTAGAAGTATCTTGTAAAGTGACTGGTAAAATAATTTGTCCCAAACAAATGCATAAATAGACATTTATATATACTCTATAAATAATACATTGATGTTCAAGAACTGTACTCTAAATTTGTAACAGCACAAGCATGAAAACCCCTGCACACACAGGTGTGAAAGCAAATGATGTCCAACTGTCACAACAGCATTTCTGCAGGCTTGGATTTAAAAATACACATTATTTTTTTAAAGAATCCATTCTATGCCATTTTATACCCACATCAGAAGACATCTAAATATGGCACCAGGAACACCAGGAAGTCACCACAAAGCACACTGTGTATCAAGGGAGATGGTGCTTCAGCAGAACACTGAGCTTAAACACCTGCCTTGAGAAGATGACAGAACTTAATTGTTCTTCCTTGGAGAAGCAGCCTATCAACCCACTACAATTATCCTCTGGTGCCAATACAATCACGCTGTCTTAAACTAATTAATACGTTAATTTATGTAAAAATATTCATAATTTGAAGTGGTTTGCTATTTCTGCTTGAATGCTTTTCACACCAAAAGCAAACAAAAAAAAAGTGATATATCACAGCTTGGTCTTACACAAAAAAAGCCAGTGATCAGGCTTGTGTCTGTTAAATATTCATTAGGGAACACAGAAAGCCACAGGCATCAAAACGGGGGACCATTTGCGTATTTACTTTTCCAAGGCTATCGTACAATGGTCTTCACACTGCTGCATTTAAACTTCATGCAAGGCCAGCAGTTTCTTTCAATAGCTCCCAAGCCCAAAAGCTTATCCTAGAGTTAATCAAAGACAAGATTAAATGTTAAGAAAGAAACCTGTGGAAAAACACTACTAATAAGAGAAGCAGCGAATGCTTTCTGCTACACAGGTTCCCTCAGCTAATACAGCACATCACTTGTTCCTAAACTGAAGTACATCCAGCTAGTGAGGTACAGCAGGGCTTCATAACTTACTTCTTGAACAGTACCCTAAACATTTACAAGAAACTTGGAAATAACTAAGAACCACACTGCACCATCCCAAAATGTAAACAACTTCACATCCATATTATATAGCAGCACACCAACAATTAGAAAAGGCCTCACAACCTTTCACTGCCATAAAATGTGTTAGAAAACAGACCATGTATGAAAAATTACACTTTGTCATTTTAAACCAGAACTTACTGGACAAAGCCCATGTAGCAGTGGACTTCAATAGTCCATGCATCACTGGGAAGGAAACTGAAAGAGCCCATTGACTACATCTCCAGAGCAGGTTATGCTGCAGATGGAACCACGGGAAGTCCCAAGAAGCTCAGTGGAGAAGTACTGTACTACAGGAAGAGAACTGGAAAGCGTTTTCTCGAGTTCTGACAAAGTAGCTGTTGGTACCCTGGTGCTTCGCTTCCTAATCTGTAACCTGGACAGATACTTACCTGAGCTGGAGAGCACGTGAAACACATCCAGAAAGAAGGGAAGAGCCAGAAGTGCCCAACTTAAGTTTTACACAAATAAACGTTCAACAGAGCCAATTGTTCCTGCTTCTTCCCCCACTTCTGGAGTTATGCTAGAACAAAACCTGGCACCATGTCAGGGAAGAGACTGGGACACAGAGCAAACAGGTGTTTCACTCAGTTGATAACTACATAATTGCACTGGATTTGGCTGGGACAGTTACATTTCTTCACACTAACATTCATGGGGCAATAGTTTGGATTTGTACTGAAAACAGTTGATAACCCATGGATGCTTTGGGAACTGCTGAGCAGTGCTTACACAGCCTCAAAGCCTTTTCTGCTTCTCAAGCCACCATGCCAGTGAGCAGGCTGGGGGTGCACAAGGAGTTGGGAAGGTACACAGACCCCAGCTGACCCAAGGGATATCACAGGACATCATGCTCAGTGTATAAAGCTAGGAGAAAAAGAACGAAGGTAGGACATTCAGAGTGATGGTGTTTATCTTCCCAAGTAACTGTTACATGTGATGGAGCCCTGCTGTCCTGGAGATGGCTGCTCAACCATAGGGAGTGAAGAATTCCTTATTTTGCTTTGCTTCCACACACAACATTTCCTTTATCTATTCAATTTCTTTACCGCAGTGAACACGTCTTCTCACTCTTTCCCTTCTGATTCTCTCCCCCCATCCCACCAAAGGGAGGGAGCGAGTGACCACGTGGTGCTGAGTTTAACTGGGTCAAACCATGACAGAAATGGATCCCTGGAACAGTTAGTTTGTTGGATAAACAGTAGTTTATAAGAATCTTTTTTGTGTATTAAACTGAAAGAGCCCCTAAGCTACATGGCTGTGGATTTGCACTGGTGTTACAGGGACATGTATTTGCTTACAACTGCAGGTAAGGTTTGTCTACTGAATGCAACTTCACAACATCACAGTAAAATAAGCAGTGAAATAGAGAGCAACTGCTGCCCACATTGGCCTTATTACTATGCCCTGCACTCACCCTACATGCTTCCATCTCAAAAATATATCCACTTCCTTCGATGAACATTCATATGCAACAGAATCAAGTAACACTGTGACTCTTATTTAGAGGGAAAGGAACCCGTTCAGAGCAGCACAGTAACACATTATGAGGCTCAACTCACTCACTTGGCATTGCTTTCTGCAGCTTCCTCCTTTGCTTCCACATCACCCTCACATTTTGTAGACTTGTTCTTTTCATCCATCCAGTCAGAGACATGTTTAAGGGCACATTCTACTGTTGATACCATGTTCTGGACAGCTTCAAGTTCCTCTGGAGATGGATAAATGGTTGAATGTTTCACCATTACATGGCGGTCATCATTAGCAAAAGATCGGATAGATCTCTGTTATGAAGTGGGAAACAGGGGGGGGAAAAGAACAAAGTTATTGGATTATCAATAGAAGGACATTGCCTGAATGGGAATCCTCCCTGACAGACGTAGGACTGTGTTTTATGACGATCATTGCTTATAATCATGCAGGAATGATTCCTTATGTTTATTTAAATACATTTTAAAAAGAATAAGAAGGAAAGCAAGCGAACACCAGTGCAAAGATCAGCACTAAGCTGTAAAATATCTAAGACCTTGGGTGGGTTGTATGGCACCTGATAGTAGATGCCTAAATTCAGCTCTTCTAGAGCCCTTTTACTGGCTACTAAGAGGAACAGGCACATGTGGAGCACAGTTTCTGTTTATGTCTACCAAGCACATCTGGAGCAGTTTATGTTAGGATGAGATAAATTGTGCGTTAGAGGGACGTTTCCCCACTCCCCCGCGTGTGACCACACAAGTCTGAACCACAGTACAGGAGCTGCTACAGACATCTAGAAATGAAGCAACCTGAATTTCACCCTCTGTTTGGTACCTCCATCATCAGTGGAGGCTGTGACACTGTGTGTGCCAGGGACAGATCAGGGAGAATTTAGGTGTGGGACTAGACAGAACTCTACACCCACACACGTCTAGAGGCGGATACAAAATAGGGTCAAGACCTGTAGAATGCATTAGTTTGCAATGGCTAGAAGTGGGATTTCTGCTGCTTGTCCTCTCATGACTCCCCCCCGTCCTTTTCTCGTTTTCACTGTTTATCTCACTTCTCCCTGCCCTCTCCCTGCCCAGCTTCTCTTTGAGATGACGGCATGGTCTGGCTGGTTAATTAAAGAGTGCAAAAGCAGGGAACAAAAAACCCCGAGTTTCATTCCCAATTTCATTAAGTGTCTGACTTCCCTCATCCTTTGACTGGCCTCTCTATTTAGATTAAGCTTTCAAAGCCAGTAGATATCACTTAGGCTCTGATCTTGCCCAAAGGAACAACATCTCATGGAGATATAAGCTGTGAGCTACAGTACTGTAAGAAAGAGCACTCCCTACCCTGGAATCCTTGCAGGAATTAAGGTGTTCCTGAATTTCAGCAATCTTTGTTGGCTTGTGTCAACCTTCAGCAGCTGGATGGCTCAAGAGCAAAGAGAAAAGCCACTTTCCTTATCCCAAAAGGTAAATTATTTCAAGTAGGGACATTCAGAAATTTAGAATTTAGGTGAGTGCTGACTGAGTAAAGCACATGGACAGGGCAGGCAGGGAGAACATGGACAAGATCCCCATTTTGTAAAAGGCACTGATACTCCCCAAATAGAGTTCTGCATATTCTCAAAGTGCCGAGTGCAGCCACCTCTTCCCTGTTTATGCCAGAGACAATGGCAGCACGCCTTAAAACAAGGCAATCAAATAACCATTCCCTTGTCGTTTTGTTCCTGCTGCAGATGAAGTCATAGGCAATACGTATTGCTGAGAGCAGCTAGGCAAACTGCACAGGGATTTACAGAGGCATGAATGAAGATGAGGGTAAACTTGTAAGGAAAGACTGAAATAATGTCTTACAAAAAATGTAATAAAAATAATAGGAAGAGATCAGAGTGTCAATTAGAACAGTTTGCAGTGAAACTTGGGAGTCCTGAGTGATACTGCTGAGGAAGGTAAACTTAAATGGTTGGTTAGCTTGTGCTGGGAGGCTTATGCTTTGCTACACACTATCCAGATGAGACTATTTTGATCTGAACAGTGACCCAGACCAGCTGTGATCACAGCACAGACCTCTGGCAAGAGCTGCTCTAACTCTTGTTCTTTATAGACACACAAACCACTGCTGAAAGCTTCCCAGATCCTGGAACCATGAACTGAAAACCTCTCTTCCTCCTACACATTAAATACCTTGATCGGGTTTCATTTTCACCCCTGCTTTATGGGTTTGTAAGAGTATGCACTCTTAACAACAAAAAAAGAGCCTTTCAAGGATGTCAGAGGCCTCTGGGTTGAATGCTTAAAGAACTGGTCAGGATTTCCTGGCTTACTGCATTCACTGGGTCCCTGCCATTGAAGGGCAGCGTGACATCAGTCCCTTCCTAACTTTCAGGCTCCTACCCAAATGGACAATTGGGGTAGTAAAAGAACCTCATCAGCTGGGGTCTGGTTTTATCCCCAGAACTTTCATAGGCTGGAAAATGCTTCCAGGAGGTCCCTCTTGTGGCTTATCTGCAACATGGATACAGAAAGAAGCTGCAGTTCAGCAGTGAAAACTGACAAGCTGGATTCATTAACTTCCCCCCCCACCATCTCTTATCTCATAAAATACCAATTAGGAAAACCAGTAAAACAGGAATAAATTAGTAATTCCTACATTAGAAGAGATTTGTTTCTTTTTCTAATAAAGAGAGACTGAAAAGATCAATTCTTCATTGCAACTTAGGCCAAACAGAATAGCAAAAATGGAACACTTTGAAATACAGTATACTGACAACCCTGCTCTGACAAGTGTTCTTCCACCCTTTGTGCTTGTAACAGGTAAAAGTCTTCTCTTAGATAAACACAGCCTATCAGCAGTCATCAGCTACACAAACGTTAGAGAACTGCATTTAAAATTGCATTTCTTCTCATTTCTGTTCTCTCAGTAATAATCTTAGAGGATGTAAAGACACATAAATATGCTTGAACTGCTCTCCACAGGTATTTTTCAGGAACTGGGTGGGTGTACTGCCTTTTGTGACTACATCTTCAAATCTTACCATCACAATACTTCATACTTGCACAGGTTTATGAATTCAACATCTCAGGCATTTCCAATGCACAACCAATCCCAGGCAGATAAGAAATGACTCTTCACTTAAATAATATACACCAGGTGTATTCAACTACACGCATTTCAGCCACACTATTCACAAAGTCTGCATAGAACCAAATTCAGTCCCACAAATACGAGTCATCAACACTTGCTTTTGTGAGGAAGAGGTGAATATCAGGATTTGGTTATGCAATCTGCAAGTTCAAGGTCACTCATGCTGTTCACTGCAGCTTGCTAATGCCAGTTTTATTAGAAAACCTTATGAGCATCCCCTTCATTCATATTTAATAATTCATGTAATGCAGGCTCACAAGACAACTCTGGTTTTAAGAGGCTGAGAGTGTATCAAACCTCATTTGCTTTGCTCAAAGCATGCACTACCATCCCCAGTTTAGTGCAAGGTCAGAAAATCCCCTTAACTCTGGTTTCATCATGCCCCATGCAAGACTCTCAGCAGAAAATATTCTTAATATCCTGTGAAAGATGACAGATACCTACCATGGTTTGTTAGTGTTTCAGCTCTCTCTCCCTCCCTTTCTCCTTTTCCCTCCTCCTTGGTGTCTTGGCTAAGCACTGTTTTGCCTGACAGAACCTCTTCATAAGCCTCTCAGTCCCTTGACAGCTCAAGAGTTCATACAGCCAAGATGCTCTGGGAGTCACTGTCTGCAATTCACCTGTAAAAAGAGAGAAACAACTTGAAACCAGAAGAAATGGCATGTTAATTCCAGTAAGTGTGCATTGCAGCATTTGGAGTCAAACGCTGATTAAAACGAGCAGCTTCAAGATGGGGAGGCAGCCACTGATCCATTTATTCCTGAACAAGCAGATGTCACTGTGGAAAGCAACTTTTTGTGATGTGCCCACACGTATGTAACGGTTTTCCCATGCCAGTTAGAGCTTATCTCAGTGTGGTTTGTCAGCCACCTGGCAATCCAAGCTTCTGATACGAGGAAGACAGGATATCCAACATCTCAAATATGCTCCATGTGAAACCAGCTCAAGAAGTCTCTATTTTTATGTCGCATGCACATAAAAATCAAACACACTGTATTTCATTATCTAAAAGAAATTAATCTGTTCAAGTCTCCAGTGCAGCCCTTGATCCTGAACGTGTCAAGATGCTGATATTAGAAAAACTAAGACTTCGGGTGGCAATAGCTGTAAGTGGTTATTTAGAGAGACAAGCGCATTATAGCAAACTGAAGATATGACTTGTGAGAATGCTCAGCTGAAATCATCCACACCGCCTTTCCTGCCCTTGCACTGCTTTTCACAGCACACAAGAGCAGCCCTCTTGTACTAAACTAGGAAACAAACACCAGCACTGGCAGCATAAGGAACTGCAAATAAATGCTCTGTAAGACAAGAGAAGAGCAGGATAACAGCAGGTAATGTGACAGAGAGGAAAGCATAAGCTCATTGCATAGCAAGACAATCTAGTCCTTGCAGAAAATTCCTGTTTTCTTTTCACTGCACATATTGTTGCATCAGCTTTCTAGCAACGTTTTGAAGCAACTGGGAACCCAGTCAGTAAATTGCTGCAGACTGACACACTCAAATGTTTTCCTTTTCTCCTGTATGCCGATTCTCCTTCTCTAGCAATATGTTGCTTATTGTCTGTCAGAGAATCCTGACATTGTTAGAGATTAAAAGCATGTTTGGTAACAGCAGAGGGATAGGCAAGATGACTTGAAAGCTGAGTAGATGCTGAAACCTCAGGGGTGTGACAGGGAATAATTAAACGTTGCATCCCATAGAGATTTGAACATGCCGAGGGAAAGGGAACAACAAATCCTGCTTCACTATTTTCCTAGTTAAGAAATGAATTGGGTTTACAAGACCAAAAGCTTTGGCAGCAAGTGCCTAATAGATGTTTGTATCTCACACCACATTTAGGATGTAGAATTGAGTAAAACAAAAAGCAGCCAGACAAGAACATTGTGCAGGACCCTGTCTGCTCCAGCAGCTGAAGACTGCCAAGGAAGAAACCCCAAGGGAGTTAAATGCAGTCATACTAAAAATACTTGGGAAAAGCAAGCTAATGAAAACCCTGAAGGACCTCACTTCTGATCACAAGGGCTTTACCCTACCAAAGCATATTAACACTCTACCAAATTGCTTCCCAAAAGACATCAAGAAGGAGATGGTCTCTCATAGGACCAGATTTGTCTCTTAAGAGATCTTGAAACCCAAGCAGAGGCAGCTGGGAGGAAAAATAAGCAAAGATTACTGCTTTGGCACTATTTATTCTATGAGCCAGTCATAATCTCTTCCACATTCAATAGCCTTTCACCATTTCCAGAAGCAACCAGACTCTTTATGAGGTCTTTTTGGTTTGCTTTTCTATAGTAATAATAATATGCTTTTGAGTCAGCAGATGGCAAGCTAGAGAGACTTTTATGAGACATGTTTCTAGATCATCTACTTCAAATTAGTTCTCTCTTCAAACTAAATTCCAGCTCTCTTCACATGCTCTTCTTCCCCAAAACTCCTACATTTCACATTTTCAGTTTGCTATCTTCTCTGGTAACTGTAACTTGGCAATTCCAGGCAGAGAGAAGGGCACTGAAATGTGTTGCTGACTTCAGCATATGCCCAGTACAATGTCTCTAGACTCTGAGCAACACTCCAGCCTGGCCTCCCTCCGAAGACTACTGCAAGCTGTTGCTTATCAGCATGTACAGTGTATTGAAAGCAGATGGACAAAGATCGCTAGCTGAGCACTTTCTGGTGCTGCAGTCAGTTGCTGAGCAGACTGTCTCAGGGCACGTCTGCAAACTACCCCACAGGCTCTGGAAACAGACATACCTCAGGGTGCAGTTCTCATTGCTGAGTGCTCTTTGAAAGCTTGAAGCAGACTGAAAACAAATGTTTTGTAGCTATGACAGGGCTTAATCTACTGGACAGATGAAGCAAAACCACCAACACCTTTCAACACTGCCTTAAGTGAGTAGTAACCGTCTTGTTTTCAAGATGGGCTCAACTTTCAGTGACAAGGATGAGTTATTGAAGGTATTCATGAGTTTGATTCTACCTGGCCTGTTTCTCACCAGCGAATGGTGAGACAGTACGTACCCAGCTGAATTATGAAGGGATCTTTATTATAAAGCACAGACAGCTGGAAAGAAAAAAACCCTGAAAGTTGAGTTGAAGCTTATATATGATGCCTTTCAAGTCATTAACATCCTAAGAATATCTCACACAAATGTGCACAGGAGTGAAAACCAAATATAGTTCAGACTTTGAGAGAAATTTTTCAACAAAAGCACTAAACAGGAGGGAGTTTACTGTAAAAGTGTAGACACAATATACAGAACAAAGTACACTTGACAGCATGCAGAATTAAATTAGGGAAAACTAAAATCAAATCTGCTCAACCATATGGACTAAGGCAGCAGAACATAGCTCAGCACCAAACACATCAGAAAGCATTATGTGAAGTGAGCAGCAATTCCATAAATCCAAGAGTATCATTTTACTACCAGGCTATAGCAGGGAATTTGTCCCTCCATCCTCAGGGAGGTAACAGCTGATGCCTGGACTAAAAGGCACAGTATTACAACACATGGTTGTTTTACCCCAGGGCTGCCACCGACACTCACAAGTCCTAGGACAAGCTCCTAGTGCTACCACAACCTTGGTGACCTTGAGAAAGTCACTTTACCCCTGCATCCTGTGGCCCTGAAGTGTGAAACAAGAGTAAATACTTGCTGCCCCCAAACCAGGTCAGCTGAATAGAGTATGCAGTGGGGTTTAAAGTCACTGGGATTTGACACATTAGAAATGTTATTAAAACATCATGACAGTCTAACAGCATTTCCATTAAACATCCCATCCTTCATGTAAGTTTATGCTTTGGCACAAGACAAACAACGCAAAGAATTTCAGATGAGGCCTCTGTAGCAGGATATATTCCTGCATCTGGTGAGTGTGTTCCCAAGAGACAGACATTTAAAACAGCCAGAAGTAATGAATATGCTTCAGTACCTTTGAGCGCTTGTGAAAAGTGAAAAAGCAGGAGAAACAGGTACTTGCACTCCATGGGGACTGGAATGTAACATCAGAACTAGGGAGCTATAAGCTTCTAGAAAGGAGAGACAAACTTTGGCACCCTGATATCCCCTTGCAGCACAAAGTTATGTTGCATGGAATGATGAGGAGGAAACCAGGGTCACTGGACTCCAGTCCTGCAAACCCTCGCTTCAGTGAGCTGCTCTTTAGGCAACTGGCCAGGCCATGTAGAACACCATGAAAATGGGTTTTAAATGCTACATCAAGAAGGCGCATGCCAATGATATTCAGCTGAAGCATTAAAAACACCCTCCACCCTCCTAATCTACCCTTATGCCAGTATCTGCCCATGAGAACTACAATTTACAGTGTAAACCACCCTAAGATCACTCAAAGTTCATGTTAACAGAGCAACAAGGAAAACTAAGGTTGCTAATAACAAACCTGTATTTCACACAGCCGAAGGTGTATCAGACACAGTAACAGAACTGGAATTCACATCCCTTTTTTCTTACCTTTACCAAGGCAGACTAAGAAGTTTGCAACTTTAAACTGGAAGCTTACTTTAACTTCTGCTTTGCATTCAGGTAATTTCTCGTCACACCGTCCAAAGTGCTGCTGAAAATATGTTGTGTTTTTTCTGCAGTATAATTTTATTGCTGGCCTTCTGCCAAGAGGCTTTCTGGCAGCATCTCCCACAGTTGGAAACTGTGTATCTGGGTCAGAAAAGACAAGCCGCTTTTCAGAACAGCTCAATACATTTGGCAGAGATGCTGATATTGTAATTGAACTCTTTCAGCAACTCTTTTTATGATGTACCCAGACACCAAACAAAACAAGATCTGCAGTGTTGATTAATGTCAAAATAACTGACAGAGAAATATCAAAATAGTTTTCCCTCATGTTAAAAGTATCAACAAACTGAGGGGAGCAGATAAGAAATCCAATTCATGAGGATTCAGTGAGAAGCACAGGGCAGAGAAATCCGCAGAGTATGACTGACCCTCCACTTGTGCAGGTATTATTTTAAATCCAGACTCCCTGTACACTGCACAGAGCTGGTTTCTTCATTCTTCTCCACCATAAGAAGAGAAATCCTTGGCACTCATCACTGTGTAAGTATTCTGTAAAGAAGTGCAATTGTAACACTGGGATGCGTATTTAATGCTGCCCTGCTTCCAACAATACGCTCAACATTCAGTTTCACCTGGAGACTGTACATTCATAGGAGTTTTATTATTTTCCAGGTAATACAATTCATGGCAAAATTGTATCTGGGTTCGCATTGAGAAGAGTGGAATTTTCCAGCCAAATTAATAATTACAAAGCAACACTGCAGTTAAAAACCGGGAAGGTACTTCCCTCTGGCAAATCCCCGCACTTCATACAACAGATACTTGCATGTGGCATTACTCCTGCCTGTTCAGCTCTCACAGTGTTTCAGGAAAGGCTCCTGTGCTCAGGAATCTCTTAGGAGCAGCCTCTGTCAAGCAGCCCCAACATGCACATTTAATAAGAACCAAAGACAGGGCAGGCACATACTTGATAAACAGATCTGGAATCATGGACAGAGAAATCAAAGTCATCTTTGCATGGTCCACAGCTCTGGCAGTGCTCACAGCACAAGGGAAGCAGCTGCCCAGTCGTCAGCATGGAAGAAACT